TCAAGAGCGCTGTATATGATGCCAACACATCTCCACAAATATGAAACATAATTCTTGTTTTACAAATGACAAAACAATAAAACAGGAAATCTGTCACCAACCTGTTTATCTAGCTGTTGTCTCTCAAACCTCAACACCTCCATACAGGCTACCCCACCGACACTGTAACACAATATTTCACTTAGCATCGCATGTTGTCATATATAAAATAAATAGCCACACTCGAAAGACTGCAAACAATTTTGTCAACTGTTTTGACAGTCTTTTTACAGGCACGAAAAAACAAACCATTATCATATATATTTAGAATTCTTGTTTACAGTTGCCGTTCATCAGATTTTGGAAAATTATCCAAAACCACATTTTTGTACAACAGGGTACAGCACTTTATTCATTCATCCATTAGTAAGCCTTAGGGCTGGGACGAGTCCAAATTTACTACGTATTGGAGAAAACACACTCACAAGGTTTTGGTAGACAGAGCATGCCCTGGGGAGAGGGAAAAACCAAGGGGGCGCGTTTTTTCCCGACCCCCAGGGCTTGCTCTGTCTACCAAATCCGAGGGAAAGTGTTTTTCCATACTTATAAACCGAAAAAAGAAACTTAAAACAACATTTATCAACATTTTTATGTTTCGAACATACTTTCCATGAACCTTAGGAAACGCGAGTAAAATATTTGTTGCTGGCGTACGGATCTTGAAAAGGACATTCTAAAAACCAGAGAGGCTTATCAACACCTCTGTAGCCTCGTGGTACACTCACTGGGCTAGAGATATGAAGGTTGCGAGTTCGATCCTCGGGAATATAAAGAAAACATTTGTCATTTGATTTTACAATTCATTACATGTTACAATCTGAACGGAAGTTATATTAATAAAATACCCAGGACATTATATAAAATCCCTGGGATATTATAGCAAATATGACTTGAATATCCTATAAAATCCCAGGGACATTACAACGTCCCTGTTTATGAGATTTAACCGGACTGGAAAGTAAAACCTCACAATAGGTTTTGATGCCTATAGAAAGAAGTCTTTTACTTAATAGCGATCCCAATGAATAGGTTTATAACTGGGTACCCAACACCCTATTACCCAGTGCTACCTGGGTACCTGCTGAGGGTTTCACGAGATAGGTAACAAAACATCTGAATGGGAATTGCTTTACTGCAGCCCTGGCAAAAACTATTTAGAAACACATATAAAACATTCTGGTCATGCATACACTGAAGTTGACTGCAACTTTATCTGTACTCAATCACATAAAAGTCAGAAGGAATGTGTGCATAGTCAGAAAGAAATGCAAAAATTAGTGACACCATGGAGTCATGTTAAGTTTCGTCATTAAACAATATATCATGTGACTAACCACAGATCCAGGTAATCTTGTGGGTGCCCGGGTCCTAGTCAGTACCCATCTGACCCAAGTACCCATCTGACCCAAGTACCCGAGTTACCCATCCCAGTCCTAGCATGCTGAGTAGGACAACTTTTTACATACTTGTGTTCTCTACATCATCAATGAGGACACCAACTTGCCATTGTGGGAAAAAGAATCTAAGGATTATGAACAATGCCTGCTCTTGTTTTGACCATGGGCATCAAATAAATGATTCCGCAAACACTATTAGGATGAAAAAAATAATATTCATGACCATCCATCTCACTACCAAACAAATCATTTTACTGGCCCAAAGTTCCTACAGGCAAAGAAAATCACCAAGTGAGAGAGAGGCAAAGGGTGTGGTGGAAGTGTTTTTATGTTAGAGACGGGATAATTGTTTAGCCACTGCTTCAAAATGTGCAACTTTCTTTCACAATACATTCTGGGCAACCTGCATGTCCAGAGACCAATTTATTTTGGGGGTAAAACCTGACATAAAATTATTTTTGTGTGCATATTCTAAGAATACTACCACTATTACATAATAGCCATAAATTCCTGTTTTGGCTGTCAATCATATTATAAAATTTCAACAGTTGTCCTTTTCAATGATAGTGACGAAAACACTTTCTTCCACAGGAAATAAAACTGTCCATGCATGAGGCGGAAAAAGTTACATCTTTCCTGTGTGTCCAGAAGTAAACATGTTAGAATTTGTTGATCACATCCAAATGCATCTGGTTGTCATTACACACTGTAAGCCTTGCTGAGGTCATCTGATAGACAAGTCCAGAGAAGCTGAGGGCAGTTCACAGCAGATCAGTATAGAAGAAAGATCGTGCTCGTGGAAAATGTTTATTCATACATAACAATTCTGAAATATCCAACAATTTTTACAATTCGTATAAACAAAAAGTTTACATACACAGAGACTTAAGTTCATATACGTAGAAAAATAAAAACAACACAACAATCCCACATAAGTGCAGAAACATACTTCGAGAAAAACCTGATGAACTTATGTGAGATCACAACCATATCTTTACGCCAATATCTCTGTTTAACAAGTTAAAAAACTAAAACGTACAAAACACCTAGCAATATGTTTTATAAAGGGTTAACTAATGCTTAGGAATATTATATTGCTATGATATTGCTGGAATATTGCTAAAAGCGATGTAAAACCATACTCACTCACTTACTCTATGAGACATATTGGAATTACATGTACGTAGACAAAAGACAAGAATTTCAAAGCCTGACCTGCACCCATTGTGCCAGATGAACTAAATACATTATTCAAACAGTTTTCACGTTCACCATAAATAAACCTAAGTGCCTAGAGGTTGTGTAAGTGCACCCATGTTTTGTTTACTGTATTTATCATGTTTATGATAAAATCATTCTAACCTACATCCTGACATGGCATACCAGGGCATCTTATCATGAAGCTGTGATCACTTCTGTCATGTTTGCATACTGTCAAGCTTTGTCAGCTTCCCACCATGAGACTAGGCAGTATGTACAGAACTTCCCATGAGCTACGAGGAATTACAGATAATCCATATTTCTAAGTTGCGAATAGGTTATTCAATATTTTACACATAGTCTGTTTTTCTGAGACAACAAAGACAAGATGTGTGTTTCCCAGTCACAAGTAGTGAGACCAGGCTCGTCCATGTTGGAGTGTGTCACACAAAACCAACTGTGACAACATGAACAATGGAAGGCATCATCTCTAATTACTTGTGAGAATGAGTTGATAAGATGTCATGTGCAAGGCTATATATGCCTGAAGAGTGCAAGCACGCTGGTGTAATGTTGATAGACATATATTTGTCAGAGTCAGGGAAGCAGCTAATGTCAACCCAGTCTCAAATAAACCCATTGTCCTTTCACACTTCATCCATTCTACAGATGTGACACGAAAACTGTATTTCAAAATGTATCCAACACTTTCTACAATACTGCTAAAGAGATTACCATCCCATTGGGTTGATAGTGCTTTAGCTGTGTTACATAGTCCATATGTGATATCAGGGCAGTTGTTAAATCACACTGCTGACAATGGTCCTCCTCTCACATGATTGGCTATAAAAGTCAGGAAGTGAAGAAACAAAGGACACTTTATGCAGTAGTCTGCAATATTTGAGCAATGCATCTGTAATTTCAAAGCTTTATGATTGAAAAAAGACATCTTAATATCAGCAGTGAAAATCATGCACTGTGTGTCTAAATCAACATGGGCTAATTCAGATTTGTGGCTGCTTGTATACAATTATTTCAGTTTGAATAGAAGCAGGACTTTAAGTGACCGGGCAGTTTCTCAACATCCAATATTAGGGCTGGAACGACACACACGAGACTCTACCAAGGAAAAACAAGCTGATGTATTTACCAAAATCACTTGATGAGATGTTCATTATATTTACCGCCACCCTCACATGAGGGTTCTTGATGAACTGAACAAAAGACCTGATATGAAGAATTCAAAGTGACCAAATTAGAGATTATCTGATGTCCAAATAAATCACTACAATTAACGATATGCAAAGATACAATAAGAAGCGCATTGTATATTGCTGAGATTAATATCATGTTGCATCAATGATGGATTCATCCAGATCCTATCTCACGGACTACATGTAAGTTTACCTGACACACACACCTGTTTTACACTCAAACACAGACACACAGTATTCCAATATAGTACTGTTACTTTCACCAACCATTTTGCTTGTGAAGATAGCAAACACTGTCTGAACTGTTTCTTAATGAAGATAGTAACATTTTAGTCACAAAGGACAAGGTATGGTAAGCACCATTACTAGTATTTTGGAATTGGCAATTTTAAAAGTTACAGGAATGTTTTCAAAGTTGAGGTGAAAGTTAATGGACATGCTGATATTGATAATGACTTCCACAAAGTACACCAGTGCGGCTAAAATAAGTGCAATCATTCAAACAAAAAGTTCATTTTAAGATATTTGAAAACACTTCCTTAAAACCATAAATTCAAAACTTTTGGACACATTTTTGTCTTATTTCCGCATTTGGTGCTGTGACAAATTAAAACGCAAACTGTTGAAAGGAAAATAGTTGTCGATCAAATGAACTCTTGTGATCACACTTGAAACAATATCAAAAGGCTTCTATTCTTTCTTAAGTCTGACAGTTCTTAAAAAAACAAAACTGTCAGAAAGACATGCTTGGAAAAGCTATCAAGGTCTTCTACAATGCATGTGCAACATCCCCCTGATTCTGAACATCAGTTGCGTTCTAAAAAATTCTAATGAATTTTTTTGCCGTGAATGGCTCCAACATTGCTGATGAGGCATTGAGGAATATCTAATCATTCACTCACTCACTCTAATTGCATTCCTTACATTGAAAGAGACCTGTGAAAATACAGGGTAGAATAGGTCTTCAGCAACCCATGCTTGCCGTAAAAGGCAATTATGCTTGTTGTAAGAGGCGACTAACGGGATTGGGTGGTCAGGCTCGCTGACTTGGTTGATGCATGTCATCATATCCCAAGTGCGTGGATCTATACTCATGACGTCAATTACTGGATTGTTTGGACCGGACTTGATTATTTACGGACCGCCGTCATATAGCTGAAATATTGCTGAGTGCAGCGTAAACAACAAACCAACAAACAAACATTGAAATGATATTCTAACAACAACAACCACAATACAATTAATGCAAAATACATGTATAAATATGTTCAGGTTCCACATTTAGCCCACAAATGGTATGTCTCTAGTAAAAAAATAATATACACTGGCATTTTTAGAATTAAAGCATACATGGACACAATAACAGACAATGTTAATCTGAGCAGTATTTTACTGACACTTCATCCAGGTGTTCTTCACACTAAAGTGATATGTTTTATGTGTAAAAAACTAGAACAAACATGTTCCTGAGTTCGAGCTGTGTTGTAAACTGTTTGCTTGGCACAAGATTCAGGACTAGAGATGCAATTATCAGCTGTTTACGAGTTTCCAAACGCAACACTGTATTAAAAGAATGTTTACTTGACAATCTCATTAAAGTTGATCTTGTACTCTGTAACAATGCCTCTCTGTGTAAAGATCTGACAAATCCTCCATTGAAGGTTGCGTCAGGTGAAACCTGAGCAACTTTGATACCCAATCTAAATCTGAAGGATGCATTTTTTTTAGCCAATCAGATTTGATTTGGAAATTTTGATATTAAAAAAGAAGAGTATTTAGAAGATTACAAATCCCCCCAGCCCATACAATTTCAAAAGATCAAATCATCAGACTGTTACCTTAAGTCCAATTTGATGAGAGAATTTCAATCTAATCTGTCATCCATATGCAAGAGTAGTTACTGAGCTATCAAAACTATACCATGGTATTGAGATTCGGAACACACCACTATGAACTTGCTGACATGTACAAAGAAACATTTAAATTCTAAAATTTCTTAAATAGCTAAAGGTACCAGTTGACAACTTGGTCTTTGTGTGTGCACTGTTTCAGGAGATATGATCCAGAAAAGCACACCACCATGAACCAAGTCTAACTTGTTACCATGGAAACAAAGAAAAATTAAATTTTGAAAAATTCCTAAATAGCAAAAGGCACCACTTCAGCCGTTTGGTGAATACATGTACCAGGTTTGAAAAGTCTGTCACAGTTTTCAAGTTTTCAAGCACCAGAAACGACACCTACCAACCCTTTCAGACTAAGTCCAAATTGTTTCCATGGAAATCGAGAAAAATAAAAATGACAAAACTCTGCAAATAGGAAAAGGCACCCCCCCAGGATCTGAGTGATACATCTGCCAAGTTTTGTTGAAAGATAATGAACGTTTTTTTAGCTCCGGAAATGAAATCCACCCCCTTATAAGACTAAGTCCTAATTGTTTCCATGGAAATCAAGAAAAAGAAAAATGCAAAAATCTGTAAATAGCAATAGGCACCACTTCAAGACCTGTTTGAAATATCCGACAATTATTGTTGAAAAAGTACGCTCCAGAAACAAAATGATTACGGATAGACAGACGGATGAGGCGTCGACTATATCCCCCCGTATTATATGCCTATATCTTCCCACATTATAAAGAACCCACAGAGAACAGAAATATTCCATCATTAGGACATCCATTTCTGTGTAGAAAGCTATCAGACACAACCATGTGTATAAGATATGCACAACATCATCATGATCATAGCTAGCCTCTCTTATATCCATTCAGATCTGTCTGCTTGTGTTCATTTTCAAGATACAGAACTCAAAGATGCTGTTCTGAATGCCTTGCTCAAACATACCAAGTATTTAGAATCTTGACACTGATTGGATGATAAGAAAGTTCATCTGACATGACCTCCTATGGAGTTATCCTCAGATCTTCACGCAAAGAGGAACTGTATCAGAGTAAAGAATATGTGTAAAATGATAATGTTCCCACAACTGCATGCAGTGGATTGTACTCATGCCATTCACTGTGAGACTCTGGCATTATAAAATCATGCTGTAAAACAGATTGTCAGCTGTTATCTACTGCATGATGTGTGTGCATTTGGCTTAAAGTCACTTCAAAAAATATATTTGAGTTAAAAGGTATATTCCAATTGAGTCATGTAAATGTGGAGGAAAGGTCATATGCAACCGTTAATGTACCAACTGAGCAACATTTATAATGAATAATATCAACAATATTAGGATACCAATAATGCCATCAGATGTAAAATATCATGAGAATATGAAGACATAAAATGCACACAAAATATGTAGCGGAAAATAAATTTGGACGGATAAATTTTTTGCACATACATTGTTTTGAGGAATGTATGTTTTTAACAAATTGCAACTACTGAGAAACAATCAACACAGATCAATATCACAAAGGAACTGTCACAAAATGAGGAGTGAACACAGTTAAAACATATCACAGATAATTCAGGTTAGACTGTTTTGAAGAAAGCGCTGCAGCTTGTGAAATCCCTCCTCCGTTATGACAATATGCAGATACTGGACTTTTCATTTCTGCCGAGAAAAGAAAACCCAGTTACTCAAGTTGTGGTTAACAAGGAGCTAGAGACTTGGAACTTGAAACTTTATAACTGATTCATTCCATGTAATGAAGTATTGCATGTTTGTTTCTGTTCATGCAAAGATGACAAAAGAATTCTTTGAAGAAAACTGATTGTGGGTATTTTTATTGTTAGTACACATGATAAACTACTTTGTAATCATAATGAGGAGACCCGTGAAGATTCGGGGTAGAATAGGTCTTCAGCAACCCATGGCTGCCATAAAAGGCGACTATGTTTGTCGTAAGAGGCGACTAATGGGATTGGGTGGTCAGGCTCGCTGACTTTGTTGATGCATGTCATCGATCCCAAATGCAAGGATCGATGCTTATGATGTCTATCACTGGATTGTCTGGTCCAGACTCGATTATTTACAGACCGCCGTCATATAGCTGGAATATTGCTGAGTGCGGCGTTAAACAACAAGAAACATAATGAGGATGTAAAAACAGTTTGTGAAATACTGAGTGACAGTGTTACAAGCCTATGTCCTGTAATGTCCATAAACATTGGGTAACAATTTACTATTAACTGTTTTCGTATGTGACTGTCCTTGCACGAACACAAGATGTGTGAACACAAATTGGTGATATATCAAATAATTCATTCTTTCATGTTTACCTAACCATAGTTACAGAATAAATAAAAAACATCAAATACAGTAAACTACATTTATAACGAACATGCTTATAATGAACTGACAGATATACCGAATAGTTGTTTTTCCCCCGGACATTTGCTGTATATATGCTTATATCGTACTACGGTTCTAACGAACTAAACTTAGTGATCCCCCTGAGTTTGTTATAACTGTAGTTTACTGTAGTTCAAAGATTTATGAAACACTGGAATATATGACGTGGTGTGGTGTCATTCATCCAAAGTGGTTGCTTGTACTATAGGATTATGCTGATGTTTATAGAAACATAAATGTCTATTTAACATAGTCAGTTATGTGACAGGGTAAGAGCTTGAAAACATATTTTCACTCATTGACACAGAGGAGGAATTTCACAAAACACAAAAATGTGCTGGAACTAGAGAAATGAAGCGCACACAGAAGCAGGTACTAAGCACTAATTAGAGTGAGTGAGTGAGTATGGTTTAATGTTGCTTGAGCAATATTTTAGTTATATTACACTATCTCAGCTTGGAGAGGGAGCACAGCCTGATGTGATGCAGCTATGGTGCTGACAAACACATGGAGACAATCAGGGCAAATCTGGGATTCGAACCCACGATCATAATTTATGCTGACCGGAGGGCGTAAGTCTGCACAGTGAATTGCAGTACTTGAGACCGCTGGGTCACTTGTGAGCCCTACTAGTTAGGGGAAAGGTGAGGTGAGGTGACATGGGGTTTAACATCGCATTCAAGATTATTGCACTTATATAGCATATAGTCTGTACTAATGCCTATTTTATAGTGCTAGCCCTCTGAGATACCATGCCGCAGTTATAATAACCCACTAAGACACAGAACACTGACTCAAAACTGACCAGTCCTTGTTTTAGCCCCTTAATGTCGAGCGCCAGTCAGGGTAACAACAAGTACCATCCTTTAATGTCTTTCAACATGACGCAGCTGGGGATTTGACCCCGACCTTCCACTCTCCAGGCAGATGCTCTAGCCACTACACCACAGAGGCAGTCACAGTTAGGGGAAAGATCCATGAAAATGTGTAAGGTTTCATTCTGCCTGAATCAATATTCCAGCAACTTCAAGGCAAGAAAGGACTTTAAATAAAGAATCCATGACGGGAATCAAACTCGGGTCAGCAGCATGATGAGCAAACAATTTACCCATGTAAACGAGTTGGCTACCTCACCATTCATGACGTCTTATATGATAGTTCTTAAATTTCCTTCTTCCTCATTAATATGTCTTCTGCAAGTCTTGTATTTTGGCTTCAGAACAACTATTGCAGAAATTCAGCCACAAAGTTGAACCAAGACTACGCATGGTGAAAAATGACAGCAGAAAACAGAAACAAAGATTTATCCAGAGATTTGGTAATCGAGATGACTTCTGTAGCAATGCAACTGTCCGGAGGAAGAGAGTTTTACTGTATTGAGAATACCGTATTCAACTTAATAAGCGCCCAGGGTGCTCTCAAAATTAGAAAAAGGGGTCTTATTAGAAAAGTATTTTGGTGAAAAAAAACAGAGTTGAAAGATCGTAAATTTTGTGGTTTATGCTCAGAGCCTGAAATGTTTATACAACAGATATATTTTTCCAGAATTTAATTGCCCATAATTAAGGGTGGATATAACACACGAGTGCGTACAATACACAAATAAATAAGTCTTGTGTACATTGATCAATCGGAAGGGGTGCTAATTGGGGATATTCACTAGCCAATATATTAGCAAATATCGCTGTGGGCATTTATTAGAGCGGGGCACTTATTATGTCGAATACGGTAATGTCAGCAGTGTATTATAACAGGGTATGAAACTCCCAAAAATTTCAGCCAGACCACAGGACTAGCTAGCTGAAATACTTGCCAGCCCTGACCAAAACCTGCCTGCCCACTATAATCATATGTTTCTCAGGATAAGCTAACGGGATTTCTTTTTGGTTACATTTTATCATTCATCTTTACATGTGAATTAATGATTATCATCGGGAAATATTTAGAATATTGTCACATATGAAATATAACCCGACCGTCGGGCAGGGGGATTTGAAAATCTGGCAGCCCGAGTTGAAATCAACCCGTCTCGGACGGTCGGGCAGGCAGGTATTTCGAACACTGATTATAAGCTTGTTAACATACACATATCCATTAGTAATCAGTTTGGTGTATAACGGAATATCCCTATCAAATCTTGAGTTGTACAGGAAGTAGGGGTGCTGACAATTCATATTACTGCTTCCTGGTGTATTGTGAAGAACAAACCTGACCTCAACAAAAGCATTGTCAGCATCCTACCTCACTCAGAAGTAAAGAATATGAATGTGGAGATGAGAACTGATGAGGACCCCAAGGAAACTGGTAATACTGCGTGTATGAATCAGTAACAACACACCGGGCCTAGGGCTAGACTGGACTCCTCCTCCCTACACTAACTGTGACATGGCTTGCTGACACAGTCTTCATACACAGGTTCTTCACACTGTTGCTGAATACAGAGGCAATTCAAGAATTTAAAAAAAAATTGTTTACTATACTCATGTCATGTGAACAAAGACATGACATCTGGCATTTTAGGTGTCTCAAGAAAGGGGCTTGCTCACTACATTCAAGTCGTTTCAGCTAAGTCTAACTTGTTTCCATGGAAACTTGGAAATATCAAATTTTGAAAAATTCTTTTTTAAGAAAAGGCACCACTTCAGCCCCTGGTTACTACATGTACCAGGTTTGGATGAAAAGCCTTTTAAAGTTGTGCTCCGGAAACAAAACTAACCACCCCTATGGAGACTAAATCCAAATTGTTTCCATGGAAATAAACAAATATAAAACTTAAAGAAATCTGCAAATAGCAAAAGGCACCACTTCAGGATCTGTTACATATATCTGTTAAAGGATATTGAATGGTTTTTGAATTGTGTTCCCGGGGAATTTAAAGGGGGCCTGCTCACTCCATCCAAGTCTTGTGAACAAAAACATGACAAGCTGTCATGTTCAGTGTCTTTCAAAAAGGTGCGGACCACCCTCTCTGGATCCGCCAGTGGAATGAGTAGTTTTTGTATCTGTAAACTGCACAATGACACCTTCCCGTGTAGCACATTGAAACCTCCACCAGCTGACTCACTGCACTGGTATGTCCACAAAGTTTGGTAATCTAACTCCAATGAACAATGTGATTATCCCCCTGACAGTGGTGAGAAACAGATGCACTGACAGAAAAAGTTCTGCATAAAATAAGATGAGAGACATCAAGAAGGAACAAGAATATCCTAAAAACATTTGACAAAATTTTTAAACACTCACCTCTTTTGTCTTTGAATCTGGGGCTGTGGGAAAAAAGTATTGAAGTAAGTGAATTGTGCTTTAACATGGTGAAAGTTGCCAGTGTCTGGAAGGCACAGACACAAGAAAACATGGTTTAACAAACATACCATGTGTTGTCATACAGCACCTTTAGAATAAATATACTGGACAAACACATGAAGACCAAATGAAACCTCTTAACATGACTTAATGCACAGTATGATTAGAAAAATAAACCTGCAGATTCTGATCAATCTCAAAGCAAAGGAAGAGGACAACATCCAAATGACAGCTAATTGTATAACGGTAACTCTTGATGAAATGATTTTCACCAAGTTCAGTGATGGACAAATATATCCTACTTGTAGGCACACTTAAATACAAAGGGCACACTTAATAATTTAAACACTTTCCATGATTTGACAAAATGTAACTTTCATGTCCTCCATAATTTCCTGACTTATTAATACACAACAGGTAAAAACTATGGTTGCTGATGAGGCTTAAGAAAAGCCACTTATCCAGAGTCAAGTCAGTCGTGTTGTCCACTTCTTCTTTTCAGTCAGGTGATATTGAGAAATATGTACCTCCATGTTTCATATTTATTTATACACAAATACATTTAATAAGTTTTTGCAACAGAAATCACATGACAAGAGTGAGTGAGGACAGTCATGGCCACAGCTTGTGTATCTATACATGTTACAGACAGTTTGGCTATGTCAGATGTATTCGAGCAAGAGGATGCAGGGAAATTAATGAGCTAAAATATTTTAGTACTTACATTTTTTGCAGCCTGTGAAAAAGAGAATGAAATACATTAATATTCCATGGACACATATAGAAATAAAATAATATTGTCATCAAGCATATACATATATAAGTGAAATTGTGAAGTGGGTTAGAACGTTGAGTTCAAGATTATTGCACTTATATAGCAATATTGTGACGCATACCTGCAAAACTTCCAAATGTTTGATTTTCAGGAAGAACAAACATGTAATATTGGCTATTTGTAAGCTAACTCTTAGTATTTTAGGTTTAATTCCATTTTGAACAGTATTTCAACTTAATCACCATGATCACAGTGCTGACAACCAAGGGCGATATTCTGGCTGAATCTGGGATTGGAACCCACCACTAGCAGATCCTGACAAAGCTAAGGGACTGAACTGTACCCATGAAGATCCGGGGTAGAATAGGTCTTCAGCAACCCATGCTCGCCGTAAGAGGCGACTCTGCTTGTCAGAATGAGTGACTAACAGGATCAGGTGGTCAGGCTCGCTGACTTGGTTGAAGCATGTCATCGTGTCCTAATTGCGTGGATTGATGCTTGTGTCACTGGATTGTCGGTCCAAACTTGATTATTTACAGACTGCCGTTATATTGCAGCAATATTGCTGAGTGTGTTAAACAACAAACAAACAAAAAAACAAACAAACAAACACTGACCCCTGACTTCAATGTCCGAAGGAACTGGTCAATAACAAGCCACTTTTCTTTGACAGTCTCCACCTCCTTGTTCTTGAATGGGTCACGGATCCGGATCTTCACCTCCAGCTTTCCCCCGACAGTCTTCCGGCCATCCATCAGCTGTTGGAACAAGCAGACGATGCACATATCAATTGCATGTTACCTACTTAATAGGCGGATTTAAATAAATGCAGCACTGTAATGAAAACAACTGCCCGGCAAAATAAAGCATCAACTTGAAAACTGGATTTGACCCGACAATTAAATTAAAAAATTAATACATGTGACCAAACATTACAAGCTGAAACTGTGGCTGAAACACTGCAAACCTAAGGTCCCTGACACAACTAGGATACCTGTATCAAATACATCCTCATTAAATAACTATTTCTGGTTTGTTGTAGCCACCATCAAACATGGGTGTATACTTTCTTTTGCCCGACTGATTACAATTTGGATATGACTTGCAGTGTCTGCCATTGGACATTTTTAACAAACTCCCTTTGTCTTCAACTTTTGCACATTTTCTGCACATTGTAATCTGATAGCAATAAATAATCTAAACACTTGTGTACTTACATCGTAACTGTCATGCACAGTGCTGTGCTGGTCGAGTGGGAGGAGCTTAATGCTGACTGTTCCTAGGTGTTTATCTCCCTTGAAGAAGCCCCTGCAAATATGAGGCATATAGTTAGTCAGTGTGTTTGGGTTTGCAATGCTGTGAACAACACTGTAGTTTAGTTCAAAGTAATGCCTGTAGACACTTCTCCTTTTGGCAAACCTATGAGCACCGGTATTATTATATTATATTATACATTTATACACAACCAAGGTACCAGTATCTGCTCAAATGCAGTTTATTTGTTCCCCGACCAGTGGATCTGTTTGCATCATTCTAGTTATCATTCTCAACTCCCTGGGGGAGTATACAACCCAAGCTGCCAGAGGCTAGATTTTACATTCACCTCACATATGGGGTACCCATTCTCTGCTGGGTGAACACAGGCACATTTGAACAAAGTCACTTGCCCGGAGTGACTGACACATTTTGACACTTGTGTTTCGGTGTATGAACGTATTTATGTTTCACTCTCTGGTCATCTATCATGGGATGAGTGTTTTCTTTTGAGAGAGCACAGGTTTAATGTACTGTATGATGCTGACAAACCAAGGAACAAAATTTTGGCAATTATGGGATTCAAACACATAACCAGCTGATCCTGGTAAATCAAAGGGAAGCCACTCTGCACATAGATCTATGGAACCAAGGGGCACTGGGCCACCCATGCCCCTGAGGAATATATAGACTTTGATATCCACAGTACACATCTAGATGTCTCCTGCTCACAACAAACTGTTTTCTTTTACAGTAGATAGTCATGTCAGGACACTGTAAGTTACCCATGGTCACATTCTTCTCTGTTGCAAACTGCTTATGAAATGGCCAGTTATTGGGTTTGATTATCACAAATAACACAAGGAAGGGAATAAATGAAAGCAGTGGTTCTTAGCACAAGCAATGAAGCAAAACATTGGTGTACAAAGTAGGGTCAGGACGAGTCCAAATTTACTACCCGGTACCCGACATCCTATTACCTGACCCTACCCGGGTACCCACTGTAGGCCTCAAGAGTTGGGTACAAAATGTCTAAATGGGAATTGTTTTACCCCAGCCCTGGCAAAAACTACTTAGATACATGTATAAAACAATCTGATCATGATACACTGAAGTTAATAGACACTGTATCCTTACACGAACATATAAAAGTCAGAACGAATGCTTGTATGGTCAGAAAGAAATGTGAACATTAGCTACACTTGTAGTGTAACCAAGGAGTTTTATTGTTCATGTCATTAAACAGTATGTCACATGACTAACCACGGGTTCGGGTAGTCGTGTGGACTCAGTACCCGAGTACCCGAGTCACCCATCCCAGCCCTAGTACAGTGATTAGCCAGGTGCCTGCTGAACCGCAGCCACAGTCAACAAAGCAGCTCCATCCCCATTTCCCATTTGAGTCACCACTTAAGATAAGCATGGGGAAAAGTGTTGGTTTGAAGTCTCAATTAGTCACAATGCACAAGTTTTCCTCTGTGGATGTGCACACTTACCGTTTATAGTACACTTCTAGCTTGATTGTCTTCCGCTCAACAACTCTGTGAAAGGACCGTGCCTTTCGATCAATTTTTACTTTGAAAGTTTCTTGGTATTCTGAAAGAGGAGAACAAGTCAAACTGATTCATGCGAGTTTGGTTTTTACTGCCAGACAGAAAAGTAAATTGGCTAAAGAGCTTGAAGATATTGTTTCCCTGATCACCCACTATGCAAGGTTTAAAGGGGCACTGATCTAACGCAATTCCCCGGACTGGTTGTTGCCTTTGTTATTGTTTTTCCCCCGTGAGTACCCGGATGATACGCAACGCAACCGAGCGTGACCAGAGACTGGGCTACCGTCTGCAAGGACAGCTAAATAAACTTGGAGGCTGGAGGCAATATTTGTTTTACGCATTTTTGAACACTGATTAGTTTAACCGTGATCTATAAAGATTTCGACAAAAGGCGCATGTTAATTAATTTCTTCAGCCTAAACAAACAGACAAAAAGAACGGCGGAGCTCATCGTATGTCGTCATTTGGAAATACCCCAGATGGTTATAGTTTAATAATAAAAAAAAGTATCCATGCAGTGAAAGCATTTTCGGATTTCGGATTGCGTCGATAATACGATTACTACTCACTTGTTGTCATCCACGTTTTCTGGTATAACCCTACACTTGTGAATTTGTCGTCATTCACTTGATGCTCGGTTAATGAATTTATTACAGGTACAATTAGTGGTAGCACCACTTAGATTACCTGACAAAGGCATTTATTGTGTCTGGGGTAATTATTCAATCTAAATCCAGGTTTGAAGTGAGGTGAAATGTGTGTTATGTAATATGCACGTGGCAGCCCAGCAAGAGGTGAATGATCAGTTCATTTACTTTTTTTGTAAATCAAGGGATCGTTCCTAGTCATCAAAGGATTAACAGAAAATACGTTGATTGATTAATCATTGTTATCTTGCACAGTGGATATGTCAAAAGGGAGTGTTTACATGTCTAGGTTTACTAAAACAAAGGGAATACACTCATATCATGGCGTGAAGTGTCGATGTAAAAACAACATACTTTGTTCAAAGGGTTAACTAATAATACGTTGATTGATTGCTCATTGTTATCTATCACTCAATGGATTTTTTAGGAACCGTGGACGTTATGAAAATAGTTGTCACGTGGGCTTTCTCAGCCGACCCTTGAGACTTGACACCTATGTGAAACACCTGAAACAATCTAAGTGATCAGTTGAGAAAGGAACACGGGTTATAATATCCCGAAACGATATATGTCTTTAAAAATATTTGACTGTTACAGAGACACGTGACATCGAATAAGTTTCTTTGTACAGCTGCAGACGAGTGGGACATTGTTCCTTTGTGTGGATATTCACGGATACATTCCTCGAACAAGGAAGCTGCCCAAAATTTATACACATAAATTTGGTAGGTTGTAATTATGGTATTTGCATTTTGTTTTCCTTCATTCATTGAACCGATTCGTTCTTGTTCCTCTACGTCTTGGTTGGGAAATTCTTCAGATTGATTAAAATTGATTAAGACCATCAAAAGGGCCTAACAACATCACAACAGATTATTATGTTGGATTAGAAGCCAAACAACATAGAAATGTACTTTTCAACGTAACATTTTCAGTCTCTTGGTGATGACATTAAACATCGAAATGTTTGGAACTCGTTATCATAATAATACAGATGGAAATGTTTTTCAGTCACTTTGTAAAATAACTGAATATTTAGGCGTTTAATAAATTTGAAAATGTTTCACATTTTGACAGTAAAAAAATATACACACTATAAAAAAAAGCAATGCTCAGGTGAAATATTTACTTTGTGTTGCAAGTCAAAATAGTGTAAACGAAAATCGCAAAATTACCAAGCAAGTGACTTATCAAAATTTCGTCACCATTACCGATGCTACCCGCAAAGATACCTACATTTCCTTATTATCTCGAAAACTGTATTTCATTTTGTTGATCAATGTGACCATACGCCCTTATTACTACCCATAAAAGTGACTAATGCGCTTACGAATGGCGCAGCAGAGGTCGCGAACTAGTCTAGATTTCTGCTATACATCCGGGTACTCACTGGGAAAAAACAATAACAAAGGCAACAACCAGTCCCGGGGAATTGCGTTAGATCAGTGCCCCTTTAAATGTTAAAATCTAACCCCAGTGAGTTTAGATTATCATATACATGAAACCCATTTACTATATGTATTCCAAACTGAGGGCAAAACTCTTCACCAATATCATTACATCTTACATGTACAAAAAATGTTTGTTCAACTTTGAGTTTATAATACTACAAGCAACAAGCAAAAACATTTTAGTCCAAAGCAGTACATCTGATTTAATTTGCAATGTGACATTTCAAGATGGCCTCTGACATGAAGTGATCTCCAGTATAAAACATTGTTTTTGTACTTATGACAAAGAGTGAGTGAGTATGGTTTTACGCCGCTTTTAGCAATATTCCAGCAATATCACAGGGGGGGACACCAGAAATGGGTTTTACACATTGTACCCATGTCGGGAATCGAACCTGGGTCTTCGGCGTGACGAGTGAACGCTTTAACCACTAGGGTACCCGACCGCCCCTACTTATGACTAAGAAGTTATTGGATATAAATAAACTCTCACACTCGTGTCCTTGCCCATACTTGTCAAAAAGTGTAGTAAACATTCTCGGGAATCCACATACGATTGCTACAGTTATTATTGATGTCACATTGGTCCAACTGTTTGTGTATGAGAACAGTATAGAACGGAAAGTAAGACTTTTACAGGTAACAACCTTAAGGAATAACTGAACTGTATGGGAGAAGCAGGAGTAAATGTTGTTTTAGGTGCAGTCATCAACACTTCATCTTCCCGAGGCAAAGGAATTCATTGATTATAAAAGTCCATTTTCCACCCTTGCCTAGGCTGGAATTATGGAGTTCTAGTTTGCCTGGACTAATGAGTCTATGCATAGTCCAATCAAAATCACATAATGAAATCAACATCCAGTTCGAATACTGCCATGCAGATTTCAGTCGATTGCAGGGTTTGCAAAGCATGTGTACTATCAACATAGTGTCAAGAGATATCAATCAAGGTGCTCACATGATTTCATGCACTTCGTGAGTGAGTGAGTGAGTGAGTAGGCTTTTATGCCGATTTTAGCAATATTCCAGCAATATCACGGTGGGGGACACCAGAAATGGACTTCACACATTGTACCCATGTTGGGAATCAAACCCAGGTCTTCGTCATGAAGAGCAAATGCTTTAACCGCTAGGCTACCAGACCGCCCCTGATGCACATCGTGAAATAAGATCCGTTTTATTACAATATAGATCTTGATTATTGATTAGATCGTCTTCACTGGGCGCCGCCATTTTATTTGAAGCAAATGTAAGTGATATGAGAGGTGGAACCTGATTGGTCAATAGAAAGGACATAGAAGGGACATAACTTGTAATAGCCACTGGTGGCATAACAATCGAACCCAGTAATTCCAGCCTACTTCGGCAAGGGTGGAAACTGGACTTTTACAGTCAGTCAACTCCCTTGCCTTGGGAAGATGGTAATACTCAAGCTTTCCAACAAAAGTCTGTAAATACTCAAAGTCTGGCCCTGACAAACTAGTGGTTGATAGCATGAGCAATGATACAATCAGCCAGGTCTCACATTGTAACCAATCAATTGTAAGTGGCTCTCAGTACAAGTATGAGTATTGGGGACATATTCAGATCTAGTGCCTTTGTACAAAACAACCTCAGCACTATGACAGTCGTAAGTCTATGATACGGTATGGGAGTCATGATCACCTTAGCGCTAAGATCGCTTGGTAACGGCACCCTGGACTTCCACTGCGTACACATCACTCACCTGGATCTACAAAGCCCTTCAGCGTCTCCGTGTGTCCTGTCTGGGGTTCATCCTGGCAACACAACACATCACTCAAATGTTATTCAAGAGAGAGAATTGGTCCTGAACAGTTGAAAGAAAACAAATATGTATACTAATATATAATGTTTTGTAATCCACTGTTCCCCCAAAACACAACTGGACAATAAATCATTTACATTTTAACACATTAAGGCAGATACTATTGGATCTTTCTACTTCTTTTTCTCAAAAAAACATTCAACATAAATGATATGAATAATTTTACAAAAAATAGTACCCATTTTACTTACATTTGGAAACGGAAATTCATATTTCACATAAGTATCTAAGTCCTTTTCAGAATGACCTGGAAAAAAATTTGAAATCATTTAGGAAGATATCAAAACATTGATATAACAGCCTAGATATATATGATAATTTTATCATATTGCCAGGAGCTCCGGACTTACAGAGTGATGTGGAGATTTCTTTTGTGCTTCAACAGGAACCTGATAACGCAGTAGACGTGCACGGTCAGAATTGTAATCATGAAACACTCATGTACAATGTGTCTTGACAACCTTTTTACCAAAATGTACCCGTGGGTAATCCTGTACCCACCTGAGGGAGGGGTAGTTGTATAGACATGGGGGCGGGTCCTGTACCCACCTGAGGGAGGGGTAGTTGTATAGACATGGGGGCGTCCTGTACCCACCTGAGGGAGGGGAAGTTGTATAGACATGGGTGCGGGTCCTGTACCCACCTGAGGGAGGGGTAGTTGTATAGACATAGGGGCGGGTCCTGTACCCACCTGAGGGAGGGGAAGTTGTATAGACATGGGTGCGGGTCCTGTACCCACCTGAGGGAGGGGTAGTTGTATAGACATGGGGGCGGGTCCTGTACCCACCTGAGGGAGGGGTAGTTGTATAGACATGGGGGCGGGTCCTGTACCCACCTGAGGGAGGGGAAGTTGTATAGACATGGGGAGACCCTGTACCCAGTACCCACCTGAGGGAGGGGAAGTTGTATAGACATGGGGGCGGGTCCTGTACCCACCTGAGGGAGGGGTAGTTGTATAGACATGGGGGCGGGTCCTGTACCCACCTGAGGGAGGGGTAGTTGTATAGACATGGGGGCGGGTCCTGTACCCACCTGAGGGAGGGGAAGTTGTATAGACATGGGGAGACCCTGTACCCAGTACCCACCTGAGGGAGGGGTAGTTGTATAGACATGGGGGTGGGTCCTGTACCCACCTGAGGGAGGGGTAGTTGTATAGACATGGGGGCGGGTCCTGTACCCACCTGAGGGAGGGGTAGTTGTATAGACATGGGGGTGGGTCCTGTACCCACCTGAGGGAGGGGTAGTTGTATAGACATGGGGGCGGGTCCTGTACCCACCTGAGGGAGGGGTAGTTGTATAGACATGGGGGCGGGTCCTGTACCCACCTGAGGGAGGGGTAGTTTTTAGACATGGGGGCGGGTCCTGTACCCACCTGAGGGAGGGGAAGTTGTATAGACATGGGGGCGGGTCCTGTACCCACCTGAGGGAGGGGTAGTTGTATAGACATGGGGGCGGGTCCTGTACCCACCTGAGGGAGGGGAAGTTGTATAGACATGGGGGCGGGTCCTGTACCCACCTGAGGGAGGGGTAGTTGTATAGACATGGGGGCGGGTCCTGTACCCACCTGAGGGAGGGGTAGTTGTATAGACAAGGGGGCGGGTCCTGTACCCACCTGAGGGAGGGGTAGTTGTATAGACATGGGGGCGGGTCCTGTACCCACCTGAGGGAGGGGTAGTTGTATAGACATGGGGGCGGGTCCTGTACCCACCTGAGGGAGGGGTAGTTGTATAGACATGGGGGCGGGTCCTGTACCCACCTGAGGGAGGGATAGTTGTATAGACATGGGGGCGGGTCCTGTACCCACCTGAGGGAGGGATAGTTGTATAGACATGGGGGCGGGTCCTGTACCCACCTGAGGGAGGGGTAGTTGTATAGACATGGGGGTGGGTCCTGTACCCACCTGAGGGAGGGATAGTTGTATAGACATGGGGGCGGGTCCTGTACCCACCTGAGGGAGGGGAAGTTGTATAGACATGGGGGCGGGTCCTGTACCCACCTGAGGGAGGGGTAGTTGTATAGACATGGGGGCGGGTCCTGTACCCACCTGAGGGAGGGGAAGTTGTATAGACATGGGGGCGGGTCCTGTACCCACCTGAGGGAGGGGTAGTTGTATAGACATGGGGGCGGGTCCTGTACCCACCTGAGGGAGGGGAAGTTGTATAGACATGGGGGCGGGTCCTGTACCCACCTGAGGGAGGGGTAGTTGTATAGACAAGGGGGCGGGTCCTGTACCCACCTGAGGGAGGGGTAGTTGTATAGACATGGGGGCGGGTCCTGTACCTACCTGAGGGAGAGGAAGTTGTATAGACATAGGAGGAGGGGGGCAGACCGTGTACCCACCTGAGGGAAGGGTAGTTGTATAGACATGGGAGGAGGGGGGCAGACCGTGTACCTACCTGAGGGAGGGGTAGTTGTATAGACATGGGAGGAGGGGGGCAGACCGTGTACCCACCTGAGGGAGGGGAAGTTGTATAGACATGGGAGGAGGGGGGCAGACCGTGTACCCACCTTAGGGAGGGGAAGTTGTATAGACATGGGGGGACCCTGTACCCAGTACCCGCCCGAGGGAGGGGAAGTTGTATAGACATGGGGAGACCCTGTACCCAGTACCCACCTGAGGGAGGGGAAGTTGTATAGACATGGGGGGACCCTGTACCCAACTGAGGGAGGGGAAATTGTATAGACATTGGGGCGGGTCCTGTACCCACCTGAGGGAGGGGAAGTTGTATAGACATGGGGAGACCCTGTACCCAGTACCCACCTGAGGGAGGGGAAGTTGTATAGACATGGGGGGACCCTGTACCCACCTGAGGGAGGGGAAGTTGTATAGACATGGGGAGACCCTGTACCCAGTACCCACCTGAGGGAGGGGTAGTTGTATAGACATGGGGGTGGGTCCTGTACCTACCTGAGGGAGGGGAAGTTGTATAGACATGGGGGTGGGTCCTGTACCCACCTGAGGGAGGGGAAGTTGTACAGACATGGGGGGACCCTGTACCCAGTACCCACCTGAGGGAGGGGTAGTTGTATTGACATAGGAGGAGGGGGGCGGACCGTGTACCCACCTGAGGGGAGGGGTAGTTGTATAGACATAGGAGGAGGGGGGCAGACCATGTACCCACCTGAGGGGAGGGGTAGTTGTATTGACATAGGAGGAGGGGGGCGGACCGTGTACCCACCTGAGGGGAGGGGTAGTTGTATAGACATAGGAGGAGGGGGGCAGACCATGTACCCACCTGAGGGGAGGGGTAGTTGTATAGACATAGGAGGAGGGGGGCGGACCATGTACCCACCTGAGGGGAGGGGTAGTTGTATAGACATAGGAGGAGGGGGCGGACCATGTACCCACCTGAGGGGAGGGGTAGTTGTATTGACATAGGAGGAGGGGGCGGACCATGTACCCACCTGAGGGGAGGGGTAGTTGTATAGACATGGGGGCGGGTCCTGTACCCACCTGAGGGAGGGGTAGTTGTATAAACATGGGGGCGGGTCCTGTACCTACCTGAGGGAGAGGAAGTTGTATAGACATAGGAGGAGGGGGGCAGACCGTGTACCCACCTGAGGGAAGGGTAGTTGTATAGACATGGGAGGAGGGGGGCAGACCGTGTACCCACCTGAGGGAGGGGAAGTTGTATAGACATGGGAGGAGGGGGGCGGACCGTGTACCCACCTGAGGGGAGGGGTAGTTGTATAGACATGGGAGGAGGGGGGCAGACCGTGTACCCACCTGAGGGAGGGGAAGTTGTATAGACATAGGAGGAGGGGGCGGACCATGTACCCACCTGAGGGGAGGGGTAGTTGTATAGACATGGGGGCGGGTCCTGTACCCACCTGAGGGAGGGGTAGTTGTATAAACATGGGGGCGGGTCCTGTACCTACCTGAGGGAGAGGAAGTTGTATAGACATAGGAGGAGGGGGGCAGACCGTGTACCCACCTGAGGGAAGGGTAGTTGTATAGACATGGGAGGAGGGGGGCAGACCGTGTACCCACCTGAGGGTAGGGGTAGTTGTATAGACATGGGAGGAGGGGGGCAGACCGTGTACCCACCTGAGGGAAGGGTAGTTGTATAGACATGGGAGGAGGGGGGCAGACCGTGTACCCACCTGAGGGAAGGGTAGTTGTATAGACATGGGAGGAGGGGGGCAGACCGTGTACCCACCTGAGGGGAGGGGTAGTTGTATAGACATGGGAGGAGGGGGGCAGACCGTGTACCCACCTGAGGGTAGGGGTAGTTGTATAGACATGGGAGGAGGGGGGCAGACCGTGTACCCACCTGAGGGTAGGGGTAGTTGTATAGACATGGGAGGAGGGGGGCAGACCGTGTACCCACCTGAGGGGAGGGGTAGTTGTATAGACATGGGAGGAGGGGGGCAGACCGTGTACCCACCTGAGGGAGGGGTAGTTGTATAGACATGGGAGGAGGGGGGCAGACCGTGTACCCACCTGAGGGAAGGGTAGTTGTATAGACATAGGAGGAGGGGGCGGACCGTGTACCCACCTGAGGGGTGGGGTAGTTGTATAGACATAGGAGGAGGGGGCGGACCGTGTACCCACCTGAGGAGAGGGGTAGTTGTATAGACATAGGAGGAGGGGGGCAGACCGTGTACCCACCTGAGGGGAGGGGTAGTTGTATAGACATGGGAGGAGGGGGGCAGACCATGTACCCACCTGAGGGGAGGGGTAGTTGTATAGACATAGGAGGAGGGGGGCAGACCGTGTACCCACCTGAGGGGTGGGGTAGTTGTATAGACATAGGAGGAGGGGGCGGACCGTGTACCCACCTGAGGGGAGGGGTAGTTGTATAGACATAGGAGGAGGGGGGCGGACCGTGTACCCACCTGAGGAGAGGGGTAGTTGTATAGACATAGGAGGAGGGGGGCGGACCGTGTACCCACCTGAGGGGAGGGGTAGTTGTATTGCTCTCACAATGCCCAGCTCCAGGTCATTGTCTCCAAGATCTGTGTTACATCTGTAACAGCAAAAGTGTTGCCACGGTTACTTCAACATCACTTTTTGGTCCGGCATAAGGTGTGCAAAGCTGAACAAAACTGAAAATATAGTACTCCAGGGACAGCAATACAGGGGCTGCACTTTCTGTGCTTTTTGTTTTAGGGCCAAATCACTAAATATAACTTTTGGAATTCATTAAAAAAATATGATATGATGAGGCTTGTGGTCTACAGGTTGGTGGGCGTATCTTGAAATCAAGACAATCACTGACAGTGAGTGAGCTGACTTGAGTTGTCAGATCCATGGCAGGGGACAAAAACAATCCACTTGCAACATACCCATGTGGGAGCACTACCTGCTTCAGAGAGAAAAAAATTCATTTTACAACGTTAGGAAATTTGACATTCATTCTCGAGTTTTCAGGCCCTTCAGAAAACTGGTGATGGATCATGCACCAAAGACCTAGCTATGTGCAGGAAATAACTCCACGGATACCTCTACAGTTTATGTTTATATGTGCTACTGACAGGTGCTGCATCAGATATTTTTTGTTGTCATGGTGTCTCTCTTAAGTTACATCCTAGCTGAGTACAAGGCGAGATGAGGATGATGAGTGAGCAGCAATACAGAGGAAGGAACTGTCACTCACTTGACGATTGAGAAGCTGCGGGTCTCATAGTGGAACTTGGGCACTGGGTCTCCGTGCAGCTTTGCATTCTTCAACGCTTCCAGATCCTTGCGACTGTTCTGTTCTAACTTTTGAAATCTGGAAGAAATAATGAAGTTGTATGATTCAAGGTGTTCCCTGTACACAAGGAACAGTACTGCATGTACTGAGATGCATGATTCAAGGTGTTCCCAGTACACAAGGAACAGTACTGCATGTACTGAGATGCATGATTCAAGGTGTTCCCTGTACACAAGAAACAGTACTGCATGTACTGAGATGCATGAATCAAGGTGTTCCCTGTACACAAGGAACAGTACTGCATGTACTGAGATGCATGAATCAAGGTGTTCCCTGTACACAAGAAACAGTACTGCATGTACTGAGATGCATGAATCAAGGTGTTCCCTGTACACAAGGAACAGTACTGCATGTACTGAGATGCATGATTCAAGGTGTTCCCTGTACACAAGGGACAGTACTGCATGTACTGAGATGCATGGTTCAAGGTGTTCCCTGTACACAAGAAACAGTACTGCATGTACTGAGATGCATGATTCAAGGTGTTCCCTGTACACAAGGGACAGTACTGCATGTACTGAGATGCATGATTCAAGGCGTTCCCTGTACACAAGGAACAGTACTGCATGTACTGAGATGCATGATTCAAGGTGTTCCCTGTACACAAGGAACAGAACTGCATGTACTGAGATGCATGAATCAAGGTGTTCCCTGTACACAAGGAACAGTACTGCATGTACTGAGATGCATGATTCAAGGTGTTCCCTGTACACAAGGAACGGTACTGCATGTACTGAGATGCATGATTCAAGGTGTTCCCTGTACACAAGAAACAGTACTGCAAGTACTGAGATGCATGAATCAAGGTGTTCCCTGTACACAAGGAACAGTACTGCATGTACTGAGATGCATGAATCAAGGTGTTCCCTGTACACAAGGAACAGTACTGCATGTACTGAGATGCATGAATCAAGGTGTTCCCTGTACACAAGGAACAGTACTGCATGTACAGAGATGCATGAATCAAGGTGTTCCCTGTACACAAGGAACAGTACTGCATGTACTGAGATGCATGAATCAAGGTGTTCCCTGTACACAAGGAACAGTACTGCATGTACTGAGATGCATGATTCAAGGTGTTCGCTGTACACAAGGAACAGTACTGCATGTACTGAGATGCATGATTCAAGGTGTTCCCTGTACACAAGGAACAGTACTGCATGTACTGAGATGCATGATTCAAGGTGTTCCCTGTATACAAGAAACAGTACTGCATGTACTGAGATGTATGATTCAAGGCATTCCCTGTACACAAGAAACAGTACTGCATGTACTGAGATGCATGAATCAAGGTGTTCCCTGTACACAAGGAACAGTACTGCATGTACTGAGATGCATGATTCAAGGCATTCCCTGTACACAAGGAACAGTACTGCATGTACTGAGATGCATGAATCAAGGTGTTCCCTGTACACAAGGAACAGTACTGCATGTACTGAGATGCATGATTCAAGGTGTTCCCTGTACACAAGGAACAGTACTGCATGTACTGAGATGCATGAATCAAGGTGTTCCCTGTACACAAGGAACAGTACTGCATGTACTGAGATGCATGAATCAAGGGGTTCCCTGTACACAAGGAACAGTACTGCATGTACTGAGATGCATGAATCAAGGTGTTCCCTGCACACAAGGAACAGTACTGCATGTACAGAGATGCATGAATCAAGGTGTTCCCTGTACACAAGGAACAGTACTGCATGTACAGAGATGCATGAATCAAGGTGTTCCCTGCACACAAGGAACAGTACTGCATGTACTGAGATGCATGATTTAAGGCGTTCCGTGCACACAAGGGACAGTACTGCATGTACTGAGATGCATGAATCAAGGTGTTCCCTGTACACAAGGAACAGTACTGCATGTACTGAGATGCATGATTCAAGGTGTTCGCTGTACACAAGAAACAGTACTGCATGTACTGAGATGCATGAATCAAGGTGTTCCCTGTACACAAGGAACAGTACTGCATGTACTGAGATGCATGATTCAAGGTGTTCGCTGTACACAAGAAACAGTACTGCATGTACTGAGATGCATGATTCAAGGTGTTCCCTGTACACAAGGGACAGTACTGCATGTACTGAGATGCATGAATCAAGGTGTTCCCTGTACACAAGGAACAGTACTGCATGTACTGAGATGCATGATTCAAGGTGTTCGCTGTACACAAGAAACAGTACTGCATGTACTGAGATGCATGAATCAAGGTGTTCCCTGTACACAAGGAACAGTACTGCATGTACTGAGATGCATGATTCAAGGTGTTCGCTGTACACAAGAAACAGTACTGCATGTACTGAGATGCATGATTTAAGGCGTTCCCTGCACACAAGGGACAGTACTGCATGTACATAGATGCATGAATCAAGGTGTTCCCTGTACACAAGGAACAGTACTGCATGTACAGAGATGCATGAATCAAGGTGTTCCCTGCACACAAGGAACAGTACTGCATGTACTGAGATGCATGATTTAAGGCGTTCCCTGCACACAAGGGACAGTACTGCATGTACTGAGATGCATGAATCAAGGTGTTCCCTGTACACAAGGAACAGTACTGCATGTACTGAGATGCATGATTCAAGGTGTTCGCTGTACACAAGAAACAGTACTGCATGTACTGAGATGCATGAATCAAGGTGTTCCCTGTACACAAGGAACAGTACTGCATGTACTGAGATGCATGAATCAAGGTGTTCCCTGTACACAAGAAACAGTACTGCATGTACAGAGATGCATGATTCAAGGCGTTCCCTGCACACAAGGAACAGTACTGCATGTACTGAGATGCATGATTCAAGGCGTTCCCTGCACACAAGGGACAGTACTGCATGTACTGAGATGCATGATTCAAGGTGTTCCCTGTACACAAGGAACAGTACTGCATGTACAGAGATGCATGATTCAAGGTGTTCGCTGTACACAAGGAACAGTACTGCATGTACTGAGATGCATGAATCAAGGTGTTCCCTGTACACAAGGAACAGAACTGCATGTACTGAGATGCATGATTCAAGGTGTTCCCTGTACACAAGGAACAGTACTGCATGTACAGAGATGCATGATTCAAGGCGTTCCCTGCACACAAGGGACAGTACTGCATGTACAGAGATGCATGATTCAAGGCGTTCCCTGCACACAAGGGACAGTACTGCATGTACTGAGATGCATGATTCAAGGTGTTCCCTGTACACAAGGAACAGTACTGCATGTACAGAGATGCATGATTCAAGGTGTTCGCTGTACACAAGGAACAGTACTGCATGTACAGAGTTGCATGATTCAAGGCGTTCCCTGTACACAAGGAACAGTACTGCATGTACTGAGATGCATGATTCAAGGTGTTCCCTGTACACAAGGAACAGTACTGCATGTATAGAGATGCATGATTCAAGGTGTTCGCTGTACACAAGGAACAGTACTGCATGTACTGAGATGCATGATTCAAGGTGTTCCCTGCACACAAGGGACAGTACTGCATGTACAGAGATGCATGATTCAAGGTGTTCCCTGTACACAAGGAACAGTACTGCATGTACTGAGATGCATGATTCAAGGTGTTCGCTGTACACAAGGAACAGTACTGCATGTACTGAGATGCATGAATCAAGGTGTTCCCTGTACACAAGGGACAGTACTGCATGTACTGAGATGCATGAATCAAGGTGTTCCCTGTACACAAGGAACAGTACTGCATGTACTGAGATGCATGATTCAAGGCGTTCCCTGCACACAAGGAACAGTACTGCATGTACAGAGATGCATGATTCAAGGCGTTCCCTGCACACAAGGGACAGTACTGCATGTACTGAGATGTATGATTCAAGGCGTTCCCTGCACACAAGGGACAGTACTGCATGTACTGAGATGCATGATTCAAGGCGGTCCCTGCACACAAGGGACAGTACTGCATGTACTGAGATGCATGATTCAAGGTGTTCCCTGTACACAAGGAACAGTACTGCATGTACAGAGATGCATGATTCAAGGTGTTCGCTGTACACAAGGAACAGTACTGCATGTACAGAGTTGCATGATTCAAGGCGTTCCCTGTACACAAGGAACAGTACTGCATGTACTGAGATGCATGATTCAAGGTGTTCCCTGTACACAAGGAACAGTACTGCATGTATAGAGATGCATGATTCAAGGTGTTCGCTGTACACAAGGAACAGTACTGCATGTACTGAGATGCATGATTCAAGGTGTTCCCTGCACACAAGGGACAGTACTGCATGTACAGAGATGCATGATTCAAGGTGTTCGCTGTACACAAGGAACAGTACTGCATGTACTGAGATGCATGAATCAAGGTGTTCCCTGTACACAAGGGACAGTACTGCATGTACTGAGATGCATGAATCAAGGTGTTCCCTGTACACAAGGAACAGTACTGCATGTACTGAGATGCATGATTCAAGGCGTTCCCTGCACACAAGGAACAGTACTGCATGTACAGAGATGCATGATTCAAGGCGTTCCCTGCACACAAGGGACAGTACTGCATGTACAGAGATGCATGATTCAAGGCGTTCCCTGCACACAAGGGACAGTACTGCATGTACTGAGATGTATGATTCAAGGCGTTCCCTGCACACAAGGGACAGTACTGCATGTACAGAGATGCATGATTCAAGGCGGTCCCTGCACACAAGGGACAGTACTGCATGTACTGAGATGCATGATTCAAGGCGTTCCCTGCACACAAGGGACAGTACTGCATGTACAGAGATGCATGATTCAAGGCGTTCCCTGCACACAAGGGACAGTACTGCATGTACAGAGATGCATGATTCAAGGCGGTCCCTGCACACAAGGGACAGTACTGCATGTACTGAGATGCATGATTCAAGGCGTTCCCTGCACACAAGGGACAGTACTGCATGTACTGAGATGCATGATTCTAGATGTTCACCATGCACAACACCATGGAAGCTATAACATACTCACTTAGCAGCAGAGGCCACGTCTCCCAGCTTGGTGAAGTGTTGAGAATTAGTGGAACTTATCTGAAACAATAACAACGGGTCATAAAGCAGCATTTTACCCAAGCGTGAATTATTGCAGCACTTTACTCATCAACTCAAGCGTGATTCATTGCAGCATTTTACTCATCAACTCAAGCGTGACTCATTGCAGCATTTTATTCATCAACTCAAGCGTGATTCATTGCAGCATTTTACTCATCAACTCAAGCATGATTCATTGCAGCATTTTACTCATCAACTCAAGCGTGATTCATTGCTGCATTTCACTCATCAACTCAAGCATGATTCATTGCAGCATTTTACTCATCAACTCAAGCGTGATTCATTGCAGCATTTTACTCATCAACTCAAGCGTGATTCATTGCAGCATTTTACTCATCAACTCAAGAGTGATTCATTGCTGCATTTTACTCATCAACTCAAGCATGATTCATTGCAGCATTTTACTCATCAACTCAAGCGTGATTCATTGCTGCATTTTACTCATCAACTCAAGCGTAATTCATTGCAGCACTTTACTCATCAACTCAAGCGTGATTCATTGCAGCACTTTACTCATCAACTCAAGCATGATTCATTGCAGCACTTTACTCATCAACTCAAGCGTGATTCATTGGAGCATTTTACTCATCAACTCAAGCGTGATTCATTGGAGCATTTTACTCATCAACTCAAGCGTGATTCATTGCAGCACTTTACTACTCATCAACTCAAGCATGATTCATTGCAGCACTTTACTCATCAACTCAAGCGTGATTCATTGGAGCATTTTACTCATCAACTCAAGCGTGATTCATTGGAACACTTACTCCACGGTCAACTCAGGCCTGACTTATTGATGTGCACAGAAAATAGTTTTTGTACCAGGCAAACCAGGGACTGAAAACATGAGCAGCTATCAAGTCCATCTGGACATATTTCTCATGCCATGTTTGTTGGAAGCCATCCATTGCTTCTGAAGCACTACGCATTTAAGACATAACAATTTAGTCATCTCTTAGACCAACAATGGGATGCTTAGGAAATATTGTGAATCAGGTTCCACTGGGGGTAGCCATCTTGCCCCACACTGACCCTGATCTGCTTGATGAGATCCTGTTTGAGTGTGTCAAACACCTCCTCCCTGTCTCCTGTCGGTGTGCAATCATCAGCTTCCACAACGATAAACTTGTCCTCATCCTCGATGTCTGCTATCGGGGAGGGGGGAACCTGCAAATTTGTATTTCCAGATAAGCAGAATATAAGAAAGCTGTGTGATAAATTGCAAAGAACAATGAAGAACAAAGTGTGGTTTATTTCACGATAAAACATTGTTCTATCATGATGTCATTTCTGGAGATTCGATCATGTGCTGTGAAATGGACAATGCTACTTTTGAGAGGGGAGTGTCTTGTGAGTTTTCCCCATTGATGTAGCTGGGCAATGCAGATTGAACGCGATGGCTGAATGATCGCTTCCAAAAGCGGGAGAGATATGACAATTGGTATTGGGAGAAAAGGTACACATCATCGATGTGAGGATTGGGAGAATATTCAGGAAATACACACCTGTGCATAAAATGGACTATTCAGGGAGTAATTATTACCTAAATACAGGAAAATACTTTCAAAGCTTGTACTTTTTACTAAAATCCTTAAAGAGGCTGTATGTAATGTTTATATCTCATATAAGAAACAAACAACTCATGGTCATTGTTTATCATACAAAAAAACACTGCAGGGAAAATAAACCACTCAGGGCTGTGCCCCACATGGTTTCTTCTCCCTGCAGTGTTTTATTGTACGATAAACAACAACCATGAGTAGATTATTTCTTAAAAAAAAATCAAGCTTGAGTTTAGTGTTCTGCAGGACTGTATCCTGTGCAGTGCCTACCTGTGACAGGTCGACGGGGAGACCGGCTGCAGCAGCTTGTAACATGGGCTTCATCCCCTGTGTGAGAGAGATGCTCAGCATACACAACAGCACAACAACACATACTCAAAGGCACAACTACCTGGCATCATGAGATGTCTTGATGACTGAAAATGCTAACAATCTTGTACTACATGACTTTACAAATTTATCAATCTTCTATGAAGAATACTGACTACTTGTAAGTACAGACCAGGTCAGCTTAGTGCTGTCTAATGGGGGGTCACACAGAAAGTCACATCTCAATAGTTGGTATCCAAATAGCTACCAGAGGGCAATAACTCAGCAAACATCTTCAGAAAAAAAAGGTTGAAACTAAATTCACTGACAGAATTACCACAGGGGGGGATAAAAGTGAAAACCTCAGAACTACCACAGGGAGATAAAAGTGAACACCTCAGAACTACCACAGGGAGATAAAAGTGAACACATCAGAACTACCACAGGGAGATAACAGTGAACACCTCAGAACTACCACAGGGGAGATAAAAGTGAACACCTCAGAACTACCACAGGGAGATAACAGTGAACAGCTCAGAAATACCACAGGGAGATAACAGTGAACACCTCAGAACTACCACAGGGAGATAACAGTGAAAACCTCAGAACTACCACAGGGGAGATAACAGTGAACACCTCAGAACTACCACAGGGAGATAACAGTGAACACCTCAGAATTACCAAAGGGAGATAACAGTGAACACCTCAGAACTACCACAGGGAGATAACAGTGAACACCTCAGAATTACCAAAGGGAGATTACAGTGATCATCTCAGACCTACCACAGGGCGATAACAGTGAACACCTCAGAATTACCAAAGGGAGATTACAGTGATCATCTCAGACCTACCACAGGGCGATAACAGTGAACACCTCAGAATTACCAAAGGGAGATTACAGTGATCATCTCAGACCTACCACAGGGCGATAACAGTGAACACCTCAGAATTACCAAAGGGAGATTACAGTGATCATCTCAGACCTACCACAGGGCGATAACAGTGAACACCTCAGAATTACCAAAGGGAGATTACAGTGATCATCTCAGACCTACCACAGGGCGATAACAGTGAACACCTCAGAATTACCAAAGGGAGATTACAGTGATCATCTCAGACCTACCACAGGGCGATAACAGTGAACACCTCAGAATTACCAAAGGGAGATTACAGTGATCATCTCAGACCTACCACAGGGCGATAACAGTGAACACCTCAGAATTACCAAAGGGAGATTACAGTGATCATCTCAGACCTACCACAGGGAGATTACAGTGCCTACTCACATGCATACACCTCATGTAGTTCTTGGCCAGCTCGATCTCATTGCACCGCTTGGCCTTGAGTGCAGCTTGCTTGAACTCCTCGTACCGCTCTTGGAGGAAGCGTTCCTGCTGCTCTGCACGTGATGAGATGCTCTTCCTTGCACCTGGGCAGAGAAGAGCCATCTAAATCAGGCTTACACTGAGTCATGATCACTGCTGATCATGATGCTACGCCACAACGTACCATAGCTTAGAAACCTGCATTCTCAGCAGCAGTAGCAGTTCATTTTGGTTATCAAAATACAGCTAGCAGAGCAGTTTCAAAAGCATGCATGGTCATATATTTAAGACAAATCCTGATAAGGAATGACTGAATATTGTAATGTTATGTTAAGCAACAATCATTCTGAAAAAGAACACTTTTCGCAATCCAAAAACGTTTTTGTTCTTTGTGATTTGGGGTTTTACACCACTTTTACATTGATTCATGTCCTATCAGAGAAGATTTGTTTGTTTGTTGTTTAATGCCGCACTCAGCAATATTCCAGCTATATGACAGTAGTCTGTAAATAGTCAAGTCCGGACCAGACAATCTAGTGATTGACATCATGAGCATCGATCCACGCAAATTGGGATACAATGACATGCATCAACCAAGTCAACAAGCTCGACCACCCGATCCAGTTAGTCGCTACTTATGACAAGCAAAGCATGGGTTACTGAAGACCTGTTCTAACCCGGATCTTCAAGGGGATTATCAGAGAAGACCTGAGTGATGAAGAAGGAGTTTGATGAATACATGAATGGAGGAAGTGAATGAAGGCTGAGTGTGGCTCAGGTAGCCCTGCAGTGGTTGCACCCACCTGCTGTCTTGTTGATCTGGGGCTGCTGTGCAGGGGCAGGCCTGGCAGCTGCTGGAGCTGGTTGGGGCGGGGCCTTCTGTGGGGAGGGGGCTACCTGACCCTGGGGCTTTGCTGGGGGTTGGTGGGAGGGGGCAGCAGCCGGAGCAGTGTTACCCACAGGGATAGGAGCAAAACCTGAAACAGTGCATGCAAGTGCTTGATATGTATCATTCATTACATGACACGTAATGACAGTCACTCATTGGCTCTATATGACTAAATTATAAATACAGGTATCAGTCATGGCATAAGGTAAATACAAGAAACACACCTGGGGCACAACCTGGGAACTGACAAGCATCTCACCTGGGGCACACCTTGTCAACTGACGAGCATCTCACCTGGAGCACACCCTGTGAACTGACGAGCATCTCACCTGGAGCACACCCTGTGAACTGACGAGCATCTCACCTGGGGCACACCTTGTCAACTGACGAGCATCTCACCTGGGGCACACCTTGTCAACTGACGAGCATCTCACCTGGGGCACACCCTGTGAACTGATGAGCATCTCACCTGGGGCACACCTTGTCAACTGACGAGCATCTCACCTGGGGCACACCCTGTGAACTGATGAGCATCTCACCTGGGGCACACCTTGTCAACTGACGAGCATCTCACCTGGAGCACACCCAGTAGACTGATGAGTGACACACCTGGGGAACACCCTGTAGACTAACCTGGGGCACACTTTGTCAACTGACGAGCATCTCACCTGGGGCACATCTTGTCAACTGACGAGCATCTCACCTGGAGCACACCCTGTGAACTGATGAGCATCTCACCTGGAGCACACCCAGTAGACTGATGAGTGACACACCTGGGGAACACCCTGTAGACTCACCTGGGGGTGAAGGCAACTCGGTGAAGTCAAACTGCCTCCCAGCTTTCACAGCCTTGATAGCATCTTGGTATTGCTGGAACACACAGATACAAGAGCTACAGAATGTTCAACATGTAATGTGTCCACTGAACTCAAGCACACACAATATCCTCCATCACCAAGTGATCCTATGTCATTGGTTGTTGTCTGAATGCAGAATACCAAGTACCTTGGATATCCGGCCCATCCTCCTGGCTTTGCTGCCCTCCCCAGCTGTCTTAGCCTCAGCCTCTGCTGACTGGTACTTCTGTAGCCTCTGCTGCAGAGCCTCCATCACCGAACCTGGAGCCTCCGGTGCCTTGAACAACTCACGAGCCTCTGCAATACAACCGAATGGTGAGGTCATCGCTGACATCAGCACCTCCTCGACTAGATGATGACAATAATACTCACCTATTTGAAACAGGAATATTCTATGATGAGGCTATGAACGGTTAACTAATTGTATGAGGTGTGTAAACAATTCTGATGGCACACAACAATAACAACAATAATTCTGGTTGTATTTATATAGCGCATAAAAGGCACAAACTTTGTGTTCATTGATGGTGTTTGTTAAAAAGGTGGGTTTGAGGTGGGCTTTAAGAAAAAAGTAGGGATTGAGGGAGATAATTTCACATTATCTGGAAGAGAGTTCCATATAATCAGTGCAGAAGAGGAGAAGGTTCTTTTGCCAAATATGGATGTACTGATATACGAATAGAAAATAGTTTCTGTTGAGATCGGAGAGTTCTCTGTGGAGAGTCGAGTGGTAAGGGTTCAGTGAGATATTTTGGGGCAACGTTGTTAAAACATTTGTATGCATTGAGAATGATGTTGTATTCAATGCAAACTGCAACAGGGAGCCAATGGAGTTCTCTCAGTGTGGGAGTGATGTGATTGATTTTAGCTGTGTCGTAAACGATTCTTGCAGCCAAATTCTGGAGTTTCTAGAGCCCTTATATGGCAAGGAGGCTGCAGCAATAATCCATTCTAGACATAACTAGAGAGAACTAGTTTTACAGTTCAAGCTGATGTCTCAATCAGTTCTTACCCTCTGCTGACGGGGGTGGGGGAACTTCTTCATCCCCCTCAGGTTCGGGCGGGGCAGCCTGCTGTGCAGCTCGCTCTACCCTGGGTGCTGTTGGTGGTTGTGTTGTTTCCTTGACCTGGGGTCCTGAGTATAATAGATTAGTTTGTTATTCAACACCGCACTCAGCAATATTCCTGCTATATGACGGCAGCACTTTTTCTGTAAACTTCACAAGAACTACATAAAAAAGTCTGTCCCTGAGTCAAACATTTTGAAAAACTTGTGCACGTACAGCAAAGTACGGTCATAACCAACTCCAAGGGGACCACTAATATTCGTTCGTTATAACTGTAGTTGGTTGTAAGTATTTCGACTGTCAGACATTGCAGTTATGGCATAAAATACAGTACATAAGTAAATACATGTTATAAATATATTATTGATAGTTTCACTGACATACAGACACTAGAGTCAATTGATAATTGAGTGTGGACAATGTGCCTTGAAAATTCTTAAATATTCCTAATCAATCCCCATATCAAGCAAATTACCTGAAAAGAGATATATATTTTTATAGTATGAACATTATGAAAGAAACCTGTTGATATCTGTTAAATGCTTGAGAGAGTGAGTGAGTGAGTGGAGCCATTATGCTGCACTTAGCAATATTCCAGCAATATCACAGCAAAGGACACCAGAAATGAAATCTTTGAAGAAAACAAGTTGTAACAATCTGTTTATTGTCAGTAATCATAGTTCTTTTCCGTTTCAACAATTGTCTGCTTCAAATCTGTAACAGATTGACTGGAAAGGCCTGAAGCGTACCACATTTTTCATGTGAGAATCCCAGATGTACATCTGGTCAAACACTTCGGAACATCTGTGTATATTTCAATCTCTCACCTCCAAATTCTGGTGGTGGTGGAGGCATCTGAGTCAAGTCTATAGGTCGCCCGTCGCCCGCCGCAGCCTGGACACTGTCAAATTGCTGGAGACAAGAGATGGGTGCGTGAGGTAGGGCATGTATACGTCAGGCTGTGTGACAAATGTCTGCTGGTACTCCCATGTGTTCACTGCACAACTTAAAGCCCCACCCTGACTATAAATAGCCCGCAAGGTGGCAGTGTTTCAGTTTCGAACAATGACTGACAATGTAAACACAACCGAGTGTCGGGAGACGTTTTTTGAAAACCATACGGGAACTAGATCACCATTGACCGTCAAACTTCGTATCAACTTGAATGACAAACCATGGATACAACAAATGGCTCCATATCAAGATATATGTCAATAAATTTTCTGTAGTTTTATCCTAAAAAATTGAATCGATCGTGTTTGGCGTCTGCATCGATCACAGTGGGCGGAGCTTATTTACGTTTGCGCTATAAATAGCAAAGCACATGGTCATGTGTACATGTGGCACATTTAATGCATTTGTGGTCAAAGTGTATTGTGTTGTATATATTTACGGCAGAACAGCAGCAGAACATCAGTTTCAGTTAATGTAACAGTAACGATACTTAAATACGAAATTGACGACGCGATTCTTTCAGTTCAAACCGAAAATTACAGATATTTGTTTAGTTTTGGTCATTTGCATTCAACAGTTAGATTTGTGCCACACAATAATCAGTTTATATTCATAAAACGTAAATTATTACAGAGATTTTTCAACTAGTGTTTAGGAAGGGGCCTAATTTGAAGCACCAGAAGTTGCGCCAATATTTCTCAGCTTGACTACAATAGATGGATATGTTACGTGTATCAACATAACAATGCACATAAGCAACTGGTAAATAAGTAACGAAATATACTTGATGTTTTGGCCTACAGAAGGCGTATCCGGATAATATTGTACATACGATAAACGAAAACTCCAATACACATATTCCAAGACAACTTTATTTATGAATTTCCTTTTCTTTCACAGAATTTTCCCACACAAGTTTGATCATTAGATGCACACTTGTCCAATGTATTTTTTGTTCGGGGTATTTGGATACACTTCGCGCACAAGTTTTAAAATACAATCTGGGATCCCTTTCCCGTTTTGTCCACACCAATCCTTCATCTGCTGCAACGTTTAATTCCGTTTCTTCAAGTCCAAGTATCTACGATCTCTCCCAACACTTCGTTTATTTAGCTCAGTCCAGAAACAATGTGTTCGAATCGACGAATTTCTGCAACATGGTGGCCGCACCATTCCCTAACTGCGATTGCCTGTGCCGTGTCACGCATGGTTGACAAAAGAAGTGTGAACATACATATTCGGCTTCATCTGGTTCCAAAATGAAATCTAGCTGTGACACTGATTCACTAATCCCAAGAATCGGCACTGAATTTATCAAAGTTTCTGTTGCACTTGCAAGGGCGGGAAGAGAGGCGCCATCTTGTCGATTCGAGTTGTGAATCGGAATGATGTCATCTTGAACTGGAACTTTCTCCACGATAAAGTCACCAATGTCACAATCGAAATGACCTAAGGCTCCCTGATTATCGCGAACAATTCTTCGTCAAATTAGGCTTCACATGAAAATGTTCTGTTGATCATATTGAAGACAAGCGAAATTGCAAAGTTTTTGACAGTTGTAAGCAGCAACTCGATGCCCTCATGGGGCGTGGTTTTTTCTAGGGGATCGCGTGTTCAGAAAGGCGAAAATAAAAAGTTTTAGAAAGTAATAAAAGAAATACCCAGTGCAATGAAAAAGTACCAAGTACAGGATATTTTTTAATAATAATATTCACGAAAAAAATCTTTTCTAAAAATGCAAAATAATTTATTAATTTATCCCAAGGTCGTAACCCTGATCACGTGGTAGGTATTTGGAAGGAATCTTTGCGATGACGCCGTGAATGAGGCCGTGTGTGTTACATTGTTGAATTCAACTGCCCAGGAAGATTGTTGAGGCATTGACATTATGACAGATGCTCGTCATGGATGGAGAGAAAAATGTATCTGAGAGAAACATTGTTGCTTTGAGCTTCGAGACAAAACACTACTGCCGAAGTAGCCAGCGACCTGAATGTAAGCTTGATGAAAGTAATGTTGAAACCCATTTTCACGCACCTGACAGAATTAATGTGAACAAATATTTATCTGAACATCGTTTCGTAGTCTATGAGGCTGTCCGTATTTGAATATTTTTATCTCCATTCCGACGTGAAATAATATAATGTCTTCGTGTCTCAATTTTGCTGCCGCTGTGGAAAATTGTGCACCGATCTAATAAAAGAAATACTACTAGATCTACAATTGCACTGTCATAAAAGAACCAGGTCAACTTTATCTTTGTTCCCGTGTTTATTAAAAATTTGTTTCCGAAAAAAAGCGAATCGATCTACATCATAAATTAATTCATAGACTAGATTCTAGTACCAAGTGTTGAACCTTTTTTAAAATGTTATAAAATAACTTACACAATTATTGAAAGACATTTTTTGATAAGTCTGTCATATATTTTATTTCGTCCGCCCGCTCTCTGATTAGTTGAGGCTTGAGGGGAGAAACACATACAAAAAATATGGATGGCCTTATGCAAATGACACTTGGCATGCCAATCAACAGGGATCTGGGTCACTGGGACCCGCCAAGTTTCACGGATCGTGTTACCTCGGCATGAGGAGCTTCATCGGACAAGTGAGACTTTGCCAAAATACATTGCTACTGGGCAATGAAAAAACGACAAAAAACTACTTTGATCACTTGAAAATATATTTGACCATTACCAGGGTTTTTTACACGATCTTTGTCATCCAGATTCAAGATGAGGCAAGACGAACACAACGAAGAAAAACATTGTTGAAATCACCGATTACTGTATATATTGTGAGAAATGCTATTTATAAACTGCAGATATACCGCACACCACAGGATAACGATTGGTGCCCCAACACATATTATGTTTCTTGTTCATTTACACTGCTCATATGCATCACGACAAACGAACGTATTTCGTTCTCGTCCAGAGATTTAGAACTATGATTTGTGTGTTGGACTGTGTTGGGCAAAGATTAGTTTTCTTACAGATACATTTTAGTAAAACATACGCTTGTACACATGGTAAGATAACAAACACATATAAACATGATGAACAGGGCCGTGTTCCACAAAGCGATCTTAGTGCTACGATGATCGTAAGCCTTTGTTAAAATATGGGGCTTACGATCATCTAAGTGCTAAGATAGCTTTGTGGAAGATCTTAAGTACCCTAAGTATTTATCTTTCTAACACATTATAGTCTTCAATAGTCTTCACAGGTTGCCTAGTATCAGCTACTACCCATCTTGAACAGCCATTGTGGCTAACAGATCCACATCACGTCTCAAGTGGGAGATATGGGGGCTCATCCAGCTCTAGACGAGTGAGTGAGTTTGGTTTTACCCCGCTTTTAGCAATATTCCAGCAATATCACGACAGGGGACACCAGAAATGGGCTTCACACATTGTACCCATGTCGGGAATCGAACCCGGGTCTTCGGCGTGACGAGTGAACGCTTTAACCACTAGGCTACCCGACCGTCCCTGACTCAGGATGAAGGCTGTGTAGGCATGACTTACTTTACATATCTTGACATATCTAGCAGCAGTGGGGAGATCATTGTTCTTCTTGGCCATCAGGGCAGCACTTCTGTACTGGTCCCGCCTTGTCTGCAACACCTTCAGCTCACTGGCATCTGCACAAGTAGAGTAGAGTGAGTGAGTAAGTGAGTGAGTAGAGGTGAGTGAGTAGAGGTGAGTGAGTGAGTAGAGGTGAGTGAGTGAGTAGAGGTGAGTGAGTGAGTGAGTAGAGGTGAGTGAGTGAGTAGAGGTGAGTGAGTGAGTAGAGGTGAGTGAGTGAGTGGAGTGAGTGAGTGAGTGAGTAGAGGTGAGTGAGTGAGTAGAGGTGAGTGAGTGAGTAGAGGTGAGTGAGTGAGTAGAGGTGAGTGAGTGAGTGAGTAGAGGTGAGTGAGTGAGTAGAGGTGAGTGAGTAGAGGTGAGTGAGTGAGTAGAGGTGAGTGAGTGAGTGAGTAGAGGTGAGTGAGTGAGTAGAGGTGAGTGAGTGAGTAGAGGTGAGTGAGTGAGTAGAGGTGAGTGAGTGAGTGAGTAGAGGTGAGTGAGTGAGTAGAGGTGAGTGAGTGAGTAGAGGTGAGTGAGTGAGTAGAGGTGAGTGAGTGAGTGAGTAGAGGTGAGTGAGTGAGTAGAGGTGAGTGAGTGAGTAGAGGTGAGTGAGTGAGTAGAGGTGAGTGAGTGAGTGAGTAGAGGTGAGTGAGTGAGTAGAGGTGAGTGAGTGAGTAGAGGTGAGTGAGTGAGTGAGTGAGTAGAGGTGAGTGAGTGAGTAGAGGTGAGTGAGTGAGTAGAGGTGAGTGAGTGAGTAGAGGTGAGTGAGTACTTTGCAACGTGTACCCATGCATGGTGAAACTTACACCTGACGATATGGTACACCTGCTCATTTATAGATTCATGTTTTAATAATATTTATCCAATAACTCCCTGGGTTAGCGTTACAGTACCACCTGAAACAATGCACTAAATCTGATGGTGTGATTGTATTAGAATAAACTAGGTTCATAGCACCAGCACCTTGTTACTAATGTAAGCCTGAACACATGGTGTTCATTTCTTAGAAGCTGTGACACTTGACTGAATAACTTCCATGTTATTAATAATAAACAAAGACCCACTTGCTGCTGGGGCTGCTGGGGCTGGTGAAGTCACAGGAGGTTGTAGAGGCACAGTCGGCTGCACACGGGGAGCTGGAAGTCACAAGTATTGAAACAAGGGTTAGTGTCACCATGACATCCAGGGTCCTGTACTACTGATGTACCAAGGGGTGGTTGTGTGGGAGTGGTATCATGTTTAGGTGGGGATGTACCAGGGGATGGTTGTGTAGGAGTGATATGTTTAGGTGGGGATGTAACCAGGTGATGGTTGTGTAGGAGTTATATGTTTAGGTGGGAATGTACCAAGGGGTGGTTGTGTGGGAGTGGTATCATGTTTAGGTGGGGATGTACCAGGGGATGGTTGTGTAGGAGTGATATGTTTAGGTGGGGATGTAACCAGGTGATGGCTGTGTGGGAGTGATATGTTTAGGTGGGGATGTACCAGGGGATGGTTGTGTGGGAGTGGTATCATGTTTAGGTGGGGATGTACCAGGGGATGGTTGTGTAGGAGTGGTATCATGTTTAGGTGGGGATGTACCAAGGGGTGGTTGTGTGGGAGCGGTATCATGTTTAGGTGGGGATGTACCAGGGGATGGTTGTGTAGGAGTGGTATCATGTTTAGGTGGGGATGTACCAAGGGGTGGTTGTGTGGGAGTGGTATCATGTTTAGGTGGGGATGTACCAGGGGATGGTTGTGTAGGAGTGATATGTTTAGGTGGGGATGTAACCAGGTGATGGTTGTGTAGGAGTTATATGTTTAGGTGGGAATGTACCAAGGGGTGGTTGTGTGGGAGTGGTATCATGTTTAGGTGGGGATGTACCAGGGGATGGTTGTGTAGGAGTGATATGTTTAGGTGGGGATGTAACCAGGTGATGGCTGTGTGGGAGTGATATGTTTAGGTGGGGATGTACCAGGGGATGGCTGTGTGGGAGTGGTATCATGTTTAGGTGGGGATGTACCAGGGGATGGTTGTGTAGGAGTGATATGTTTAGGTGGGGATGTAACCAGGTGATGGTTGTGTAGGAGTGATATGTTTAGGTGGGGATGTACCCGGGGATGGTTGTTTAGGAGTGGTATCATGTTTAGGTGGGGATGTACCAGGGGATGGTTGTGTAGGAGTGGTATCAGGTTTAGGTGGGGATGTACCAAGGGGTGGTTGTGTGGGAGCGGTATCATGTTTAGGTGGGGATGTACCAGGGGATGGTTGTGTAGGAGTGGTATCAGGTTTAGGTGGGGATGTACCAAGGGGTGGTTGTGTGGGAGTGGTATCATGTTTAGGTGGGGATGTACCAGGGGATGGTTGTGTAGGAGTGATATGTTTAGGTGGGGATGTAACCAGGTGATGGTTGTGTAGGAGTTATATGTTTAGGTGGGATGTACCAAGGGGTGGTTGTGTGGGAGTGGTATCATGTTTAGGTGGGGATGTACCAGGGGATGGTTGTGTAGGAGTGATATGTTTAGGTGGGGATGTAACCAGGGGATGGCTGTGTGGGAGTGATATGTTTAGGTGGGGATGTACCAGGGGATGGCTGTGTGGGAGTGGTATCATGTTTAGGTGGGGATGTACCAGGGGATGGTTGTGTAGGAGTGATATGTTTAGGTGGGGATGTACAAGGGGATGGCTGTGTGGGAGTGGTATCATGTTTAGGTGGGGATGTACCAGGGGATGGTTGTGTAGGAGTGATATGTTTAGGTGGGGATGTAACCAGGGGATGGTTGTGTGGGAGTGGTATCATGTTTAGGTGGGGATGTACCAGGGGATGGTTGTGTAGGAGTGATATGTTTAGGTGGGGATGTAACCAGGGGATGGTTGTGTGGGAGTGGTATCATGTTTAGGTGGGGATGTACCAGGGGATGGCTGTGTGGGAGTGGTATCATGTTTAGGTCGGGATGTACCAGGGGATGGTTGTGTAGGAGTGATATGTTTAGGTGGGGATGTACAAGGGGATGGCTGTGTGGGAGTGGTATCATTTTTAGGTGGGGATGTACCAGGGGATGGCTGTGTGGGAGTGGTATCATGTTTAGGTGGGGATGTACCAGGGGATGGCTGTGTGGGAGTGGTATCATGTTTAAGTGGGGATGTACCAAGGGATGGTTGTGTGGGAGTGATATGTTTAGGTGGGGATGTACCAGGGGATGGTTGTGTGGGAGTGATATGTTTAGGTGGGGATGAAACAGGGGATGGTTGTGTAGGAGTGATATCATGTTTAGGTGGGGATGTACCAGGGGATGGTTGTGTGGGAGTGGTATGTTTAGGTGGGGATGTACCAGGGGATGGTTGTTTAGCTGGAGATGGCTGTTTAGCTGGAGATGGTTGTTTAGCTGGAGATGGCTGTTTAGCTGGAGATGGCTGTTTAGCTTGGGTTGGTTGTGATGGATTGATATAATGTATACATGGTATAGGTGGAGACATACCTGGAGATGGCTGTTTAGCTGGAGATGGCTGTTTAGCTGGGGATGGCTGTGTAGCTGGGGATGGCTGTTTAGCCAGGGTTGGTTGTGATGGACTGACTTCATGTTTAGGCGAGGACTGCATTGAGGCAGCACCGAGCGCTACAGGGGGAGGAATCTCAGTCTCATCAACAGGTTGGCCCGACTTAGCTCTCTTACACATGTCGGTCAGTGTCTGGAAGAAAACCAAACCATGAGGTACCCCATGGAGGTTTAGGTGCACCCAACATCACGTGACAAGCTACACTACCAGTACACACTTTCACACACAGAAACTTGCAACACCCAACATCACGTGACAAGCTACACTACCAGTACACACTTTCACACACAGAAACTTGCAACACCCAACATCACGTGACAAGCTACACTACCAGTACACACTTTCACACACAGAAACTTGCAACACCCAACATCACGTGACAAGCTACACTACCAGTACACACTTTCACACACAGAAACTTGCAACACCCAACATCACGTGACAAGCTACACTACCAGTATACACTTTCACACACAGAAACTTGCAACACCCAACATCACGTGACAAGCTACACTACCAGTACACACTTTCACACACAGAAACTTGCAACACAAAACTACATGGGGTAAATGTCCACCAGGTTCCTCCCTCACCCATGAAGATATACCGCCGCTATGCAACGTAATGCTGAGGTGTGCCTATTTATTGCAGCACAGCTATGGAAGGTCAAATGAACCCTAATGTCTATGCATAAACATCTACCACTGCCTGCCAGTAAAGCAATGTGGAGAGCACTAAGTCACAAGGCCACACTTTTTTAATTTTATGTTTCACAGATTTATTCCAGGTTTTCCACACAAAGTTGGTTAAAATATAATGAAAATAAAAAGCTATGTCAGTCATTTATTTATATATATGGAAGTCATCCTGCAGTGGAGTTAAACCGGCAGCTGGCATCTTGAATAACTCATAAAGATAAGGACATGGAATTTATATGTACATTTTACAGTCAAGTCTCATTAATCCGACACTCGTTAATCCGACAATCGGCTTTATCCGACACTAATGATTGGAACCAATTAAATCAGTGCTATTACTAAGACACGTTAATCCAACAGTCTCGCACTCCGACTCCGACACACCTATAATTTGCAACCAATTACCCAAACCACTCATTAATCAGCGTACTCTGTGGTCATCTGCCCATGAGTACACAGCCCGTGTTTTGATGCGAGACAAGTCGGCTGGTAGCTGCATATAACAACGGCTGCAGAGATTAACTTGATTAACAATAAACAGTTAATGATTTAAATAAAGAAAACAGGATTAATCACATGCTTAGATTACCTCAATCTAATTAAAATCAGATATAAGTTCTCGCTATGGGACGCTGTAAACGCAAACACTGCTCACCTTCAACCCCCTGTCGAGTCTCCTCTGTTTGGAAGCGTCTCCTGCAGCCTTGGCATTGGCGGAGGCCTGCTGGTACATGACCATCCTCTCCTGCAGCAGGACCGCCTGGTCTGAGGAGTTGGAGGAGGGCATCTTCTCGGGGGTGGGGGTAGACTGGGGTGGGGAGGGGCTGTCACCTGCATTCAGATCCTCCAGCTCAGCCTTACAACAAGAAAGTGAGTGAATATTTATCCAGAAAGAATCATAACCTGAGAAATGTCAAAAACATTTTCGGGCTTCGAATCCCATTCAAAAATATTATACAACCAATCAGACTGAGGCATACACTGCTCTTTGTTCAAAAAGGCAGATAGAGGCTGAAATTATCCCACGAACACAGGATACAGTATGTACAAAAGTATGTATACTTATTCCACTTCCACAATCAACAGATCCAAGATACAGACTGCACAATGGGCTCAGCCCTCCAGAGTAAACACTCCCTCTCACAACCAGAAATAAACTGCCCCGCTGCGTCGAACAATTACATCGCAATCTCATAGAATCTATATACACACACAACACAGAATGTAAGGAATCCAAGGATACCAACAAACCTTGAGCGTCAACAGAAACAGGACGCATTATCATGTGGAATGCAAAGGAAGATAACTCTGTATTTGGATAATGTGGAGACCGCAAGAAAATATTTCCAAAAACATAACTTTACAGTTATTTTAAGGCTGCATTAGATAATACATAAACAACTCACCAGCAAGTCTGGGTCCTCAGTGTCAGACAGCTCTTCATCACTGCCGATGTCTCTCATACTCTCAGCAGCCATGTTGTTAATCACGGACATGTCTAGTGGAGCTGCAAACACAAACCAATGTTGGGAACAAAGTTGTTCTATAACACTGCAGTCAGCAATATCTAACAGTTTCACAAATCAGTCTGAACCCGGCAAACCAGTGATTAATAGCATGAGCAACAATCCACACCAACTAAGTGTGATGATTAACAATCAGTCAAAACACAGTGGTCTCTTACGACAGGCATAATTTAATAGTTGACTTTGGGCGAAAAAAGTCCAAAGTTTACTTTGTTACATTTTGTTGCAGTGTTGAACTCAATTTAATTGTATTTTGTAATGTTATGACTATGTTATATTATCAGACAGTAATATGTAATTTGACAAATGTAAAGTAGCTTCCCTTTGATAAAGGGCAATTACTCTAGTGAGTGGACCTATGAAATGCTACAAAAGACTATCGAAGTTATCTTTGTGCTTGAAACAAATTGTCCTGAAAAATCATGAGGCTATAAACTAGTTAAGCCAGTTTCAAAGTTTCAGATTGAACTATATTACCCGCTGACATTGTCTGACCGAGCTTGTGACCTTATGTACCAATGAGACTACTGTGAAAACTTGCAATATTTAGGTACCGTTTGATTTTGGGGGGCAATCAAATTTCAGAATGACATTAAATGACAAACATCATAAACACGGTAATCACACTAAATACAATGTTTATTCCGTCTACAGGATATTTATGCACCAAACGCATGATAACCTCTATATCTCTATTATGTCATATTTGAACTGTTTGAATCACTGCACTCATTGTAAGACTTAATGATGTTTACAAAAACAAAACAAAATGTATAATATGGATAAAACATAGGAAGACAAATCCTGATTCATCTCCAGGATGACCACCAACCTTTCCTCTTGGCCGCTGGTCTCTTTACCTCCCCACCAGTCAGAGCTGCCAGCTCCGCCTCCAAGTCATCATCATCATCCATTCCCCCGTGCATTGTGTCATCCTCTATACCACCAAACCCCATCTGGTCACAACAAACATCACACAACGGTTTCAGGTGACGACAAGAATACATTATAAGTTGTACCAGTCTCACGAGGGGTACATGGGGTTTTATGTGCATATTATGCATAAAACCCCATATACCCCTTGTGATCGTACTTTATCTTGCGGACATGTTTTGAAATGACATTGTAAGAGAATTAAAACAAATTCAAAATTGACATAAAACACCTGTTCAATTGAGCTGAGGTTAGCTTGAGCTGTCATTGACTCGGACAAAGCTAGTGGCTTTTTGCTTCGATAAGGGATTTATTCTCCCTCTCAGATATCCATGTGCAGCCTGTTTTCTTTGAGGATTCCACATGAATTAAGTTAAAACCGAATTTGTTTTCATTGAAAATAAAAATGCTTTTATAAACTGGGGCTTACTATATGATGTGCCAAAGCCTGCTATAGTTAGTGAACAAATATTGAAAACTGAGCTTATTCAATAACGTTGCGCGTAGAGATGATAGATCACTGAAAGGAGCTTATGCTCACTCGGTGACACAACGTCACAGGACAGTGTTCCGTCGTTATGACTGATAGCAAAATACCACAAATTACATCATAGGATATTGTTATTTGTTTGAAAAGCTTGTGGTACTGTATTCTTAAGGTAGGCCCAGTTTAGAATAAATAAAGTATTATTGAAGTAAGTGTATATACACCAAGTGCACTATTATATTATAATTGGTTTTCCTAAGGCAAATCAGCTACTTAAACATTAGACCAGAGACCATTATGATAAAGTAAGTTATGTTATGGTCTCTGAGTAGACTAAACATGCTAAACCCATGAGGACTGTGTCAATTCTTATTCTAAATGTGCATGATTAGTTTATTTGTGTGCATGTGTGTTAAATGTCTGGTTCAAAAAAATGTGTGATAGTATAGTTTCAGACGGCCTTAGTTATCGTGATTACTCGCACTTTAACAAGGAACCCAGACATTGCAAATACTCAAATGATAACTTGTTCTTAACATAAAGTCTTCTTTCAATAGTGAGAGACATGTTTTATAGTTGTTCTTGTGATTAATGAGAAAATTATAAATGTTTCTTCAGCATCCAAAAACCCATAACACAGGGATATGTGACTATGGTTCTCTGGTAAAATGTTGTACTATTTAATCACTACAGCCTATCAAGTTGGCATCGGTAGTTCGTTCTCTTCTACTTCCAATGAATATATGCCAATACACACATTATTTTTAGGCGATGACATTAATTATTTGTATTTTTGTAAATAGTGCAGAGGAAACTCTACCTTGCGATTGACACGTTACATGGTCTTGCTCATAAATTATTTAAAAATCTAGTTTCTACTTTGGAAATTATGCAATACAAGCGATGTCGAGAGGTAGGAAATGATCATATTGTTTAGGCATGTTGTATGTACATTCTGAGTCGTAGATGTCAAGCTACACAAATCAGGAAATGATGCCGATAGTGATTCACTGTCACACGCCGCTGTCAAATACGCACAACGACAGACAGGTGAATATGAAATGAGTAGGTGGTGAAAATAGATTACTTAGACATAGAACTAATATTCACTTGATTCATTAACGCTGTCCCCTTCCTCGATTGAGTCTGAGGCGCATCTTTCTTCTTCCCAAACATTGCTTTCGTTCTGCTTGTTTACTTTCCGGAAGTACCATGAAATACCAGAGTTATGTCCCTTCACGTAGCACCCAAGCTCCTCACAGCGATAGTACGTTCCCGGAGCTCTCTATACTATAGACTGGTTCCCGGATCCTCCGCTTGGTGTCGCTGCACTTGTTCCGCTTTTTCAATCAGTCTGTCGCAGGAACGAACGGGAACCAGTCTATCTATACTTTTCTTCCCAGCGCGTGACACCTTCGTTACACTCTCGGTATAGAGAGCTCCCCGAACTCGCTGTGAGGAGCTTGAGCGCCACCTGTGGCAACAAAGGGGCATAACACAGGCTAAGCTGGGCCCCGTCTCTAATATCACAATTGGGGCAAGTTGACGACTCGCATAGGGAGCCGGGAACCAGGCAACCTCACCATACCACCATATTACAGCAATTCCTGTTTCATGGGGCGGTGGGTACAGGGTTCGGTTCCCAACGTAGTGAAAATCGGTGAACATTTCTAGTTTTCCCTTTTGTTATTTTGCCGGAATATTGCGAAATACGATGTAAACCACACTCACCCCTGGTCCTAGCCGAGAGTTGCGACGGGGTGACGTGATGTAGGGTCATGTCTTGACTGTAGAACCTCATCGGGGCTCTCAGCTACCCCGTTCCATGATTATCTATGGCGTTCGTCTTTCATGTATTTGATAAATGTTTATAGAAACAATTGAATAAAATATCAAAATAAATAAAATTAGATGATGTGACGTTTAATTCATATTACCAACCGTAAAATGTATCTTTTTTTCTGCACTATTTTGATTTAAAACAAGGTTGTAGTAGCTCCGCTGTTTTAGACGGTGTCCTGTAAATAATCGAGTCTGGACAAGGGACCCGTTCCACAAAGCGATCGTAAGTCAATGTTAAAGTATGGGAGTTACGACCCCTGTCCATTGGTCAGTTCCGCAAAGCCATTATCGTAGCTAAAGTGATCGTAACTCCCATACTTTAACATAGACTTACGAGTGTCGTAGCGCTGCGTTCGCTACGTTTAATAGTAAAGTAAACAGTTTTAAGATTTGTGTAAGTAAAAATAAAAAGAGTGTTAAGATCAAAGTGACATGATGTTGGAACGGAAATAAGATAAGATTTGAATAAATCTTGTTCCTCACTTATTATACAAGATAGCTATACAAGTAACTATACAAGACTAGAACACGGTGAAGGGGTTCACGCTGGTGCCATAATAGCCACAGGACAACTTCAGATGAGCTTATTACATATGCACGTGAACTCCGATGGAAGGTCACACATATATTAACACACATATGAACCAATGAAAACCATGCTCACTTAAACTGTCATGTTCATAATGGAGAATCCACGTGGACATTGTAACCTGTCATGGAGGATCCAGGTTAAAAAAAAAACCCAGACCCAAACGAGACATCTTACTTGCGATGTATGGAGAAGACCTCTAATGCGACACTGCCGACCAATGACGACATTGTCAACCGAATAGCACCCCAGCCACACAATCACTAGTCGTCAGTGTTCCTGCTTCATATCTGATTCAGAGAGCTGGAGACGAAACTACCTGCATCAACTGAATCTTCGACGAACAGATTTAGAGCTGAGACGCATTAAAGACAACCTGCCTACATACTCCACAACATTCCGATGTTCGAATCCATGAAAACCAACATGTAACAGACACAAGATCATTAATTTTTTTACATAACTTCAATTATTAAACGGTGACAATGTATATCTATATATCTGTCTTGTTTTCTTTGACCAGCACCGAACTGTTGAAAGTACTTGGTACAATGATCCTCAACCGGAACCGAACTGTCAAATCATTCTTGAGCGCCCAAATCCAGGACCAGCACTAAACTGTCTAATCCCCAAATTACCTTTAGTTTAGATTTTCGACACTTCGGGCCGACACCACATTATCTTATTTGGTCAATTTTAACAAAATGTTTCCATGATGATTTTTCCTACGACGCTCCGAACTCGGGTACCCAGACGACGTAATTAACGTTTGGCACAAAACTGCGTTCAAGAAATTTTGTTTATTTGTTGTTTAACGCCGCACTCTGCAATATTTCAGCTTTTTGACGGCGGTCTGTAAATAATCGAGTCTGGACCAGCCAATCCAGTGATTGACATCATGAGCATCGACCCACGATGATAATTGAGATACGATGACATGCATCAACCAAATCAGCGAGCCTGACCACCCGATCCCGCAAAGTCGCCTTTTACGGCAATCATGGGTTGCACTACTAGGCGACTTTGCAGCTTTTCTTTATTGCAACAGGATCACTCCGCCATACGTCATTCCATTCATTAACAAACGTGAAGTGGCTTTTCGACACTTCCTTGCACAGAACAACATTCTTGTTCTTCAGTGACTATCCAGATCACCAGATCTGAAGTCAATTGAACATGTGTCGGACGTTAGACATTGCAGGATTTGTTGGCCTTGTAACAGGAGTGGAATAGCATACCCAGACAGTTCATGGGACTCTTAATTCCATGGGTCAGGGGTCAGACGTCTCATTGATTCCAGTGATGGTCATACACGGTATTAAAGAGCTGTGTCCTTGACTTTTGTAACCCATTGACTTTATTATTTTATAATATTAAATACATTTTTTTCAAACACTGACAATAATAACTTTGATATATATTTGTAACCAAATGAGCAGTTCTCTTATATAAAAAATGTAGTTGAAGCCAATTGTGCGTTTTTGTCGTATATATGGTGTAAATATCGGCGTTGACAAAAGAAGGTGGTTCCTGTGGTTGAGAGAATGTCCCTCTCGGTTTTACCTGTGACGCTACAAACGCCTTAATCTTAACCTAGGTCACCAAGTAAGATACTGGAGGTTTGGTTTTAGGGATCACTCAAGTGTGGAAACTATTAACAGTAAAGAAAAAATGTCTGCATTATATTAATTTATCGAAAATATTTAAGCTAGCTTTCACAATTTATAATTTTAATGTATTCTACAAATCCAAACAATATATAGAAAACACCTATTGTCAGTTAAATGTAAACAGATTGTACTAAATATTATACGTAATTTCTAGAAGAATAGTGAGTGAGTGAGTGAGTGAGTATGGTTTTACGCCGCTTTTAGCAATATTCCAGAAACATCACGGCGGGTCTAGAAGAATAGGTATTGTACGTTTGTTCATAATCGACCACTGGTATAAGTACTGTTATTCTTCAATCAAAGACAAGAAAATACGTGATAATTGTATTTTATATGAAATATAAGATACAATTATTATATATCATTGTAAATTTTCTTAAACGTTGAATGAAATAATATTAGTTAAACTCAAATATTTATAAATTTTATAATATTTTGCTTTTACTGATACTATTTCATACTAAGTTTAAGGAAAATTTACAATGATATAAATCCTTTAAGCAGAGCTACTGCAATAAGCCCTCAGGAGATATCTCCCATATTTCATAGTGGGACATATTTAAGAAATGAGGAAGGGAGTTGATGGTGAAGGAATATCTTCCACCAAATAAGAGGTATGTAATCTTGAAGTATACGGTACGTCCACCATTAATCCTGAGTGTAAATCGCATTCTGCAATATACCAATCTGAACCCGACTGTGCTAATGATAATTTGTCTGGGCAAGCCTATGTTAAAGTATTGGCGTTACACTAATCTTAGTGCTAAGATCGCCTTGTGGAACGGGGCCCAGGTCCTCTTAAATCAAGACATTGTTTACATGAGAGTTAATGAATGTGTCTTCGTTTATGTTATCTGGTAGGCTTTTGATAAATTCTACACGAGGGTTTGTGTTAAGCATTTGGTACAGTGGTTGGCATAATGTTTGAATCCATATAATTCTTTAATGAGGTGGAGAAATGAAAGATGTTGCTCTTCGTCATAGCCGTTAACCAAGCACCGAATGCCACTGCAAGAAGGAGCATGACAAAGGCTGGTAGAAGGCTATGGAAGGCAAATGGTTCTTTCATACCATGCGGCCGCAGCGAACACGTGAGCAGCAGTGATGGCTTATGGTGAAGATAAACATTCAAATGTCGAATAATGTCGAAAATGACTTGATTTCTTAAAGAAAATGCAGCCTGGACTGGATGTCGACAAAAGCTCAAATGAAACGATCATAGGTGAAGTGCCACCAGCTGTTCACAAAAAGGGTAGGCATTCCCTGCTCTACCGGTAACACCCGCCACTCACACACGTGCATACAAAAGTAAGTGTTTGTTGCCTGACGTCCGCTGCACCAAAGCTACCCTTTCCTTTTCACGGGCGGGGCTGACGTCAGAGCAAAATGAAATAATGTCAAAAATAGAACAAAATGTTGTTTGATCTTTAAAAATCGATTTTACAAGATTGAGTCGTCCAAATATAAGAATCTTCTGAAGCAGACTATAACAACATGCAAATGAGATAATGTAACCGAGGCAAATAATTATTTTATTTTTTCAGCATTTGTTATTAACCAGTGTGACATAACTCAATGTAAAAAATCTTTCTTGCTGTTACTATGTGTCACATCATATGCTTCTTTACCATGTTTACCATCTTGATGTATTTTGATAGGGATAAATGTCATCCTCAATACAGGGACAGTTCACCCACCCAAATTTGTACATGCGGAAAGCATGCCTTTTGTTTCAGGCTCTCCCATATAAGGCCACGAAACTGTGATTAACACACCATACTGTCGTGAGATCTATCAAGGAAGGGGGCCTTTGGGAGAGTAACATTTTGTTATAGCTAAAAATGGGCAAAAAGAGAAGAGGCACCTGTTGCATGTCTTCCAGGGAAGGTTAACTCAGTGTGTGATGTTGTCATTGGTAGAATGCACAAACTGATGCTGGTTATGTTAAACCCAGGTGTGTCCACCATGTTGGGACACACATGCTTGACATCTTGCAGGCATACCATCAATGACAGTGCGAACGGTTGTCCTTGGAATTGCCAACTATTCCTCCCGAAGGGCCACCCCAAGCTGGTCCATGTTGGCTGTGCTGGATTTCAGGTGAACACCCTGCGTCCGAGTACATGTCTGGCAGGCCAGTCTAAATACTAGTATGCTATCCTTTAATACGTGCCGAAGATAATAGGTTACGACATGGGCACGGAGTGGTCTGGCGTTATCGTCTTGTTGTATATTCGAAATACCCTGCCAACATTCTGTGTGAAAGGTCAGTCTGGGCCCCCTTCAGGATAATCACGTCGGTAATCCTGTCGCGAGTGATCCCACCTCCACAATTGGAATA